AACTCGATCTTTCCTTCCGTGGGGGATGGGGACATGGCAGCAAGCAGACCCATACCAGCCCTGCCTCGTGGACTGTGAGTCTCGATGTCACCTTGGATAGCCTGTTTATCAGTAGCCCACCGTGTGCCAAGCGTGCACTTCCTTGCAGAAATCGCCTGTGAGACTAACATCTGATCCCTCCTGGTCACTGATATTTGGTGACAGAAGTCCCACCCCATGAGCTGCAGGCCCACGTGGCATGCTGCCCGGTGCTGAGGACCCAAGAAGAGCTTGCTTCGAATTCCCAAAGTTCTGAAGTTGACCCTGCTGTGGAGGCCTGCAGTGGGTGTGCTCCATTCTCCCTGTGCTCATTGGGGCAGCAGGGGTGGACCCTGGCCCCTCATGGCTCCACCATTGCTGGAGGGTGCTCCTGCTGTGCTAATTCCTTGGCTCTGGATCCTGGCAGTGATGACTGTGGAAGGTAGTGGTCATCTGATCTGGATCTGATCAGGATGAGTGAGGGTTAGTCTTACTTAGCCTTTTGTGCAGGGAGATGCTGACCTCTGACCCATCAGTTGGAGTCTCCTCTGAGTTCCCCCACACCTCCCCCGGGAAGGGCAGGATAAATGCCTGAGATGTCACTGGCTGATGGAGGAGCTTCTCCCAGCCAGGCCCTTCACGTTCCCTCGAAGAGCAGTGATGGCCACTTGCAGGTGGCAGAGTGGCTGCTTTGGACTTGGTGGGGCCCTTACCCAGCCCTTTGGCTTGGCAGCAGCAGCCAGTTAAAAACTCTGAGTCTCCTGGAGGTAACTGGGCAGGTGCTTGGGGGCCCCACTGTGCAGAGCGAGAGCCATGGCAAGGGGAAGGGTCTTGCAAGCAGCAGAACCGTGTGAAGCTTCAGAGTCCTCTGGCTGTCAGCCAGGGACCCACCCACAGCTGCACTCCTGCAGCTGCTTTCCATGCCCAGGGCTGAGAGGCTGGAGCAGGGTGGAAGGGGAGCAGGCTCAGGCCTAGTGCGCACTGACCCATTCTGTGTTAGGCCAAGGCTTTGAGGTGGCCCTGGACCAGTCTGTGGTCACCCTGGCAACGTCCCTGACTGTGTGGAGGCTACAGAGGCCCATTTGAATCTATGCCTGGGGCTGTCCATGTTTCACCCTGAGCAGCATCTGTGAGTCCTGGGTGGGTCAGTACCCAAGCAGCGAGGACCAGTGAGCGCCTCTCCCTCAGGGATCCCCTAACAAGCCTGTCAGATGGGTGATGATGCTTCCCCCTGGGGCCATGGGAGGTGGGGTAAGAACCCCTAGAGCCCTGCCCTATCACCTTTCCACTTGGATCGTCCAAAGAATGGTTCTGAGGGAGCGGATCCCAGCAGCTGAGATTCCATGTTCTGAAGAGTCTGTGGACCTCTGAGCAGCCAGGACATGGGCCAGACACTCGCCCTGAGCAAAGCCAGGTCTTCTTTGTGGGAGCACCTCCTGCATCTCACTGCTCCTTGTCCTCTTCCCACCCCTCACCCTCCTGGTGCACTGTGACCCTGAAGGATACAATGTGTTTTATCCAGGGCTTGTCCCTACTGCCTAGTTCTTGGGTGCATTTTACACAAATGTGAATGGATGGATAGACAAGTGGGTGGGTGGGTGGGTAGGTGTGTGGGTGGTGGAAGGAAGGGAGTATGCCCTCCCTGGGCATTGACACAGGAGACATAGTCAGGCCCCAAGGACAGTTCTGGGTCCCCTTGATGACCTTCTGTGGCATGGGACTGAGGATACAGAATGTGAACCATGCTGACGAGCCAGCAGTGAGAGTGGTCGCCTCAGCCGTGGACGTGGCTAGGTCTCGTTTGTGGCTAGTTTAACTTTGTGTTGAGGCTCATGATTCCAGTCCCCTCATGAAGTCAACTGACGGGAACTGAGGGCTGCAGCCTCTCTCTTCCCCCTCCCCCAGCTCTGCAGGGGGACCAGGGAGACATTTACTTTGTGATGGCCTGGTCAGCTCCCAGCGGTGTTGGTGTTGTAGGGCAGTAGAATCTTTTCTCATCCTAATGGTCTACATGAGTTCCCAAGATAGAAGGGCTGGCTTGTCAGTGCGTCCTCAAATCTTATGAGTTCTGGTGCCCAGATAGATGTTGTGACCCGCCCCTCCCTCCCATCCCACACAGGGAGCGAGGGCTGCTGCAGCGGGCAGGGTCTTCTCCTCTCTGCTTCTCCCAGCTTCTTCTGGCCCAAGTGGTTTTGTAGATTTTTTTATTTTTTAATACCTACTGTAATTTGGGGCAGCTATTCAAGGAATGGTTCTTTCCCTGAACTTGAAGAACTTTCAGGGACATCACTGAGAGGTGTGAAGCTCCTTCACTTTAAAAGTTGAGCGTGGTAAAGTTTTTTGGTTTGGACACTGGTAGCTGGGGAGGGGCGACTGCCCCTCACAGCGTAGCCGTCCTGGTGAGAGTGACAGGAAGTTCTGCAGCCACGCAGGCCTGTGGGTGGGCGGGGTGCATGCGCCTCCATTTTCTGACAGCACCTGGGCCCCACCTCACTTCTCAAAATGAAGGCTGCATGTCACAAACCGGCTGGAACTAGCTGTTGCCATGGTTTTCACGTTGGAAGGCACAGTCAAAGGGTCACATGACCAGGGAGGGAAATGCCTTTGTCACATGACTTTTTGGTGGCCTGATTAGCATACAGGAAGTTCACTCCCTGCTGGCTGCCTGGATGCTGAGCTGCTCTGGTGGGAGGTGACATCATCCCCTGGAAGGGGTTATCGATCACCCACAGCCAAGACGTGGCTGGAGCGAGAGCCCTGTGGTCAGCTGAGCTGTGGTCACTTTGTTGTGCCGCAGCTGCTGGGCACGGTGGCCCTCAGGACCCTGCCCTACTCCCTGGTCTGGTTGAGTTCTGTGAGCATCTCTCTGGAAGAAGTACATACCCACTGCAGGACGGTGAATATGTGGAGGGCGGCATTTTTCTCAGGCATGGATAGTGTACATCTAGCCCGAAAGACTCTCTGAGGCTGTAACCTTAGACACTGTTTTACCTGAGCAGCTCCTTGGCCCACGTGCAGTACCTGGGGCCCACCTAGGCTGAGGCAAGCTCCGCCAATGGCTGCCTTGCCACCTGTGAGCCGGATCCAGCGACAGCGGTAGATCCTCAGAGAGGAGCCTGCCTGCCTGCCTGTGGGGCATCGTACTGTGTGAAGAAGGTGTGTGTTCGGAGACCCGGGAAGGGACCCGTGGGGTCACCTGAACACTGCGCTTGTCCTTTGTGAAGTCAGGTGTGCACTCAGAGACCTGGGATGGGACCCAGGAGGCATCTGGAAGCTGCGTCCATGCCAGTGCAGCCAGTGAGGAGACCAGCAAGCTTGGATGGGACAGGATGCCCTGTTTACTATATAAGTGACCTATGTCCAACTCCAGAATGTGAGTGGTCACCCTTGTCAGAGGAATTTGCTTTGAAACTGGCCCCTTCATGTCTGTTTCCCTTGGGCTGGGTGGGGGCTGGGGTGGAAGGTGCTGTGCCTTGTGGCTCTGAACAAGGAGGGTCCAGAGGAGCGGGGCATAGGATTCCAGGCTGGTGCTTCCCTGTCCCCGGTCATTCTAGGAGTGGAGAGCACACACTCAGTGTCCTGTCTGGTCACTCTAACCCTGATTCCGTCGTCACTCAGTGAGCAGCTGTGAGCTGTTCCTCCAGTTAACTTTATCCGGAAGCTTGTCCGAGTTCATTCTCAGGGTCACAGCGCCACCTAGGGACACGCGTCATTCACCCACTGAGTGCCAAGCCCCAGTTGCCTCATGTTCGAGGGACTTTAGACTGTGCTGCCTGCAGACAGCACTTGCTTGGGGAGAAGCTTGTCTCTGGGCCCTGCGCTCCTGGCCTGTGGACAGCGGTGCTCAGGTGAAGGCCTCAGTGCTGTGGCCGCCATCCACTGAGTGTGCCACTAGAGGACCCGTCACAGGTGTGTTCCTGCTCGGGTTCAATGAAACGATGTGTGCCTGTGAACATTCTCTGTTGTGGAAGGGGCCTGTACTGGTCAGCATGGAACATTCTCTGTCATGGAAGGGGCCTGCACAGGTCAGCCGGGAACATTCTCCATGGTGGGAGGGGCCTGTGCAGGCAGTCCAGAACATTCTCATACATGCTCTTCAGCCTTGCATGTGGCCATTTGTAACCTCATCCTGACAGATAGCAAAGAAATGAGGATGCAGTGGCATCCTCACAGGGAGGGGGAGGGAGCTGTGAGCTGAGCTTGCAGCGCAAAGAAAGCAGGGAAAGGGAGGCATAGGCTAAAATGATGCAGTTTGAACTGGGACTTTTAGGTGGGAGGGTCTGGGAGGGGGGCAGCACCTGGCCAATTAGAGCATGGGAGGGAGGGGGAGACAGGATAGTCCCCAGATCTGCAGGAGGAGTCACGCTTTGTTTCCCATTCCTAGGCACGTGCATGTGTGTGTGTGTGTCCTCCACTATCCTCTGTACCCCCACTACACGTCAGCCACCTGGGGGTTGGAGTTGGGGCGGAGAGAGGGCTCTCTTGTCTGGGCCTGGGATCACACTTACTGGATCCAGCATGGTAGAGTGGAGGCTGTGGCTCTGGGATGTGCAGCCCTGTTCTCCACCCAGCACTCAGCAGCTCTGTCGGCAGCTCAGAGCCAGTGCCAGGCCCATGTCGTAAGGAGGAAGGTGTGCATGCTCCAAAATGTTCATGTCACTCAGCCACACAATGAGTGGGTGTCCAGATGCTGTCTGCCTGGGGATATGGCGTGGACACCAAAGAACAGTCCCTGCTGCTAAGGCCCAGCGTGTCTGGTGTTGGTACCATGGGAGAGGGCAGAGTGGGACATGGGCACAGCAGGTGGTGTGGGGACCTCAGAGTGGGCAGTCCAGGGGACAGCTGGCCGCAGGCTGGCGGGTGGGGTGGCCTGGGTGGGGGGCAGGTGCTCACCTGCTCACTGCATGTCCATAGGCTGGTCTGTGTTCCTCGGGGCGTGGGCTCTGGTGACATGTCACAACACCCACTGTCTCTGTCCACAGTGATGTGAAGGCCGAGAGGAGAGCTCCTTCACCTGACGTGATTGTGCTCTCAGATGGTGAGCAGCCAGCCAGTCCGCGAGTGAATGGGCTGATGAAGGTGGCGCTAACGGAGACCAGCACTGAGGCCCTCATGGTGAGCCCTCCTCACCCCACACCATGCTTCTAGGGGAGCCCTGACTCTCAGCGTGTCCCTTGTCCAGTGGCTTGGCCCCACCTGGGCACTGGTTCTGGAGTGGAACTACCTAATCCTCTCTGTCAACTCTTTTTTCTTGATCTTGCAGAAAAGTAGTCCTGAAGAACGAGAAAGGATGATTAAGCAGCTAAAAGAAGAGTTAAGATTAGAAGAAGCAAAACTCGTCTTACTGAAAAAGTTACGGCAGAGTCAGATCCAGAAGGAAACCACTGCCCAGAAAGTGAGCATGTGCGTCTGTTCTCCCTCGGGTCAGGGCAACTGCTCAGAGCTGGGTGGTGCAGCAAGTGTGGTGCAGCACCAGCCACTTTGTTACTCTGACCTGCTGCCCTCCTCAGTCCCAGGGCCGAGGGTGCTGGTGGCTTTCGGGGGTCTTCAGGGTGGTATGGGGCAAGCTGGTGTCTAGATGGAAGTTTGCAGACTCAAGTATGTATTTTGGATTTATCTAAAAGGGTGTTCAGGTATATTTCAGTCTGTAGAATATTCGGGATATGTATTTAAAATTTGCCTCCCTTAGACTGAAAGCGTTGTGTTACTCCTAAAAATGGAAAACAGGTGTCGGGGTTGCTGTTATAAGTACATTTCTGGGTTAAGAACTTTTTCCAGAAAAGCTGCCTCCCTCAGGTGGGCATGCTGGGTACGGGGCCAGCGGCCCACAGGGGCATTGTAACAGTTACTATATCCCCTCCGTGTCTGTATGTCTTGGTTCATCTGGGTCAGACGTTTTGGCCAGGACGCTAGGCTCACCAGCACCGTGCGTTCTGGGCACACAGCACCACAGCCTGGGCTCCTCCTGACCTGTCATCTTCCTGAGCCTGAGGCTCTTGGCTCTGTTGTTTCCAAACACAGCCCAATGTGGATGGCAGCTTTCACCGCAGAAATGATTCGAAGAATTTCAGGTTTATTTTGTAGGACTTTTTCGTGCCCCATGCTGGGAAGATCCCTTGCTGGTGCTGACATTACCCTCGTATTACTTGAGTGACTGTCTCAGTAAACCAAATGTAAAAGTATCTTGGATGATAGAAGCCCACAAAGCGTGGATGACATGCATTGCCATAGGGAGAGGACAGGAGGAGGCAGTTACTCACCTGACTTGGGGGTGGTTCTGAGACTCTGCTTTTGCACAGTTTCCTCAGATGCCTCACACACATTTGGGGTCTTGCCTTACACCCCAGCCCCACCCTGTTAGGAAGTGGGCAATGAGCTGGTGTCTGTTAATCTACGTGAAAAATGTTTTCCCTGCACTCACTGGTGGGGGAGCAGAGCCTTCCTGTTCGTTTTTCGCATTTTCTTTTTGAAGACTCAGAGTGAGTCAAGCTGTTGTCCTTCCACAGTGGAGTGTACAGCTCTGACACACGCTTCCCCTACATCTCACAGGGATTGGGGTACCCCCCTTAGGCCCCTGGTCCCCCTGTTCTTTGGAGGCCTCATGCAGTGTCCGCAGTAGAAAATGGTGCTGAGGGCCTGGCAGAATCTGGGGGTCCCTGTCCTTGGCTGAGCATGGCCTGTTCACACCATGTCAGTGAGTGGTGGGCAGGGCCATCTACTGGGCTGGCAGCAGAGCCCCTGAGGGCTTGATGCATTAGGGAGCAAGAACGACCGTGCCCTTCAGAGACCCCATCCTCATCCCAATGACTTGCTCAGGCCTGAATCCTGCTCACCTCATGTCCTCTGCTCTCCTGCAGCCTCCTGGCTCCTCCGCAAGCTCCGTGTCCACCCCTCCCCCGCTCGTGCGGGGCACCCAGAACATTCCTGCTGGCAAGCCGTCATTACAGGTCAGTGTCCCCGCACTGGGCTCTTTTGAAGTCTGGGCAGGGCCATCTGTCCCTGGCTGTCTTCGTGGGCATAAGGCCACTGCCTTTCTGACTGATGGCAGCACGCCTTTCAGTTGAGGATGTGCCCCTCAGCTGCCCAAACGCTGGTCACCGGTGGCATTGTGAGTGAGAGAAGGGGGCCAGTGATGGCAGTGCCCCCATGGCTGTCCCCACAAAGGCCAGACCCTCCCCTGTGGGGAGGAGACCAAAATCTGTGTAGTCAGGGGCAGCCTGTTCCGCATCCAAGCCTTGTTTCCAAGGTTGGGAGAGCCTCCCCTCTGTAGTCCTGAGCCCCTAGGGTGGACCCTGTTGGCCCAGTGTTCTGTGAAGATTGTCCCCACACCATGTGAGCCGGGTCTGCACAGCCTTGCTGACATCTGTTCCCTGTTCTCCTGTGCTCTGGACTAAATACTGAGGCCTTTCAGCTTTCTGTTTGAATCACCGTGCACTTTTCCAAGCACAGCTGATGTTTCCACAAGCACCTGTGAACTTGGGGGGCTGGGGGTATCGCCCACAGGCCTCCTCGGCCCGCATGCCCGGCAGCGTCATCCCACCACCCTTGGTCCGCGGCGGGCAGCAGGTATCCTCGAAGCCAGGACCGCAGCCCAACGCGCAGGTCGTCATGCCTCCGCTTGTCCGTGGGGCCCAGGTGAGCGGTCAGGCAGGCTCAGTGGTCTGGGGGTCCTCAGGGACTCTGGGTGTGGTGCCTAGAGCCACCTCCCCTCCATCATCTCAGACAGACTTCTTATGTCCTCCCTTCTCTCCCCAGCAAATCCACAACATCCGACAGCATTCTGGAACAGGGCCTCCCCCGTTGCTCCTGGCCCCCCGGGCGTCCGTTCCCAGTGTGCAGATCCAGGGGCAGAGGATCATCCAGCAGGGCCTGATCCGTGTAGCCAACGTGCCCAATGCCGGTCTGCTTGTCAACATCCCCCAGGTGAGGGGCGGAGGCCATGCATTACTGGGATCAGTGGTGTCTGCCTAGGCCCTCAGAGCCAGGGGCATTGTGAGCAGGGGGCTTGTGTCTAGATTGCCACTGAGGAAGGTCCACCAGCAGCCAGGTAGGGAGCAGATGAGAGGTGGGGAGGGTGGAAGTGAGGTGGGATGCAGACCTGAACAGAAACATTGAGGCAGGGATAGGGAAAAAGCAGATGGGGACGGGGGTGAGGGCAGAATGTGCTTATCGGTCCCTGGGGGTGAGGGTGCGGATGCTCACCGGTCCCTGGGGGTGAGGGTCGGGGTGCTCATCAGGCCCTGGGGGCAAGGGTGGAGGTGCTTACTGATCACTGGGGGTGAGGGGTGGGGATGCTCACCAGTCTCGGTGTGAGAGTGGGGTACTCACTGGTCCCTGGGGGTGCTCACTGGTCCCTGGCGGTGAGGGTGGGGGTGCTCACTAGTCCCTGGGGGTGAGGTTGGGGGTACTCACTGGTCTGTGGGGGTTGGTGCCGAGGTTTCAGGTCCGGTAGCAGGGGCAAGCTGTGGGGGACAGCAGGTTTTGGAGGGTAAAGAAGGTGAGATGTTCAGGGCCTGAGCTGCCCTGTGCCGCTTTGTGGGCCCCCCTGCGCCCCCGCTGCTGCCCCCCCACCGCCCCATTGCTCCTGTTGACTCGTGTCCTTTGAGTGGAATACCACTTTGTTCTGCTGGGTACGCAAGAGGGAAGTGCATTTGCAAATTTTCCTGCAGAGTCAGTGCATCTATTCTTAGCAGCTCACCCCCTCACCTTTGTGCCTAGCCTTGGAGATAGTTCAGTCCATCCCCTCCCACCCACAGCAGCCAGCAAGGGAGTGCATGTGACAGACACGCAGAATGTCTGGGTTCTGGGTTTGCTGACTGGCAAGTTTGCTCTCTCCCTTTCTCCTCTGGAGCCGTGTGCTCTTGCCATGGCAGCTGGAACCCACTACTCCAGCCTTCTCAGTTGGAGCAGGATGGTGTTGTACTAGCTCTGGGCAGGCCCAGTCCCTTGACGTCAAATGCAGGTGCAGCGGTAGCACTGGCCTGCCACTCGGGGGGTATCTGGATGGAGCCTGACCTGACAGCATTCACAGCGCCCTCATTCACTCATGAACCCCACCCAGCACCCACTGTGAGGCTATTCTAGGCTTCAGCGTGTCCTGAGCACAGGAGGGGACAGGGTTGGGGGTCTACCTCCATGGGGCAGGGAGGCCTCGTGAGGATGGGAGTTGGTCAGAGGCAGAAGCGCCATGGCTGCCAGTGCCCAGGTGTGGGCTTTGTCCTCTGTGTCAGGGCTCCTGCTGCTTTCTGGGTGATGAGGAAAGCCCCAGGATGTGGTGTGTGCAAATCTTTGGACATGTCCCTCTTCCGAGGGAAGGTGTATGTGTCTTTCTTAGATTTCCAGAAGGGTCTTCAGCCCCTTTAGCTGAAGGTGCTGCCCTGACCATTCGTGGGTTTTAGGGAGAGTGTGGTAGTGGACAGCATCCTGGGGTGGGGTGGATTAGAGAAAGGAGTCCCAGTGAGGGCCGGCATGGGCTCGGACGAAGAAGAAGAACTAGTGTGGGAAGACGGGGGAGGAGAGCTAGGGGGCAGGAATTGGGCCTAGAACTGCTACCTCTAGTTCTGATGTCCCAGCAAGGACACGTGAGCTCAGACGTTGGCCATCTCCAAATAATTCCACTGCCAAGCTGCTCCATGCCATCACTGGGGGGAAACGCCTGTCACACACCTGTGAGGATTCACACCTGAGAGCAATGTGGGGAGGCATCATGGGGATACATGGGTCAGCACGTGCCGGGTTATGTATTTAAATGGGCACGGTTTACCGGACACCAGTTAAACCTTGGTACGTCTGTCTAAAGGACACATCATCCCACAGGTGCACAAGTTCGATGCTGCTTCCCTGGGCTCACTAGTTTTATGAATTCATTGGGAGTTCCAGGGCTCAGAGGGGTCTGAGGAACTGGCACATGCAGCCGGCGGGGGTCCTGGGTATTAGGAGCTCCTGGGGTCAACTTCGGCATGTTCACACTTCTGATAGATGTCTTCTCCCAAAAGGCCTCCCCAGCATCACTGAAAGGGACGACGGCCACCTCTGCCCAGACAGGCACTACCACCACGGGTACCGCAGCCACAGCTGCTCCTGGTGATTCCCCAGCCAGCCGGCAGGCAGCTGCCAAACTCGCACTTCGAAAACAGCTGGAGAAGACACTGCTGGAAATCCCCCCACCCAAGCCCCCTGCCCCTGAGATGAGTTTCCTGCCCAGCGCTGCCAATAATGAGTTTATCTACCTGGTGGGCTTGGAGGAGGTGGTGCAGAACCTGCTGGAGACTCAAGGTAAGTGGGGCCCAGGGTGCGTGAGGGTTTGGGATAGGGGGTCAGGGTGGGGTAGAGGGGGACCAGGCCAGGGTGAGGGGTCCCTGGTTGAGTGGAGCAGAGGGGGGTGCCAGGGCAGGTGGGAACATCCACTGTGTGCCCAGAAGTGTTGTGAGTTAGAGTTTCAAGGACACATTGTCATTCTCGGTCCCCTGCCTGCTGTAGAGTTAGGTAACTTTGTGACTGTGTCATGTAGTACCTGCTCTGGGCATGCCCAGTGAGGCCCAGGCTCCCAGCTCCTGTCCCGGGTACAGCTGTGCTGGCCTATGATGATGGTGGGTGGGCGGAGGGAACGTGGAGGAATGTCCTCGGGATGCTGGTTGGCACTTCTACGGGCTCCGGGCAGGTGCAGGGCAGATGTGGTTACAGGAGGGACACCCAGTTCCAGGTGGACTCCCTGTGCCTGCCTCTGTGGACTCCCTGTGCCTGCCTCTTCCAAAGCCGCTTGTAGAGTGCATCTGCATCCTGGGGGGTATTAGGAGCGAAAGAACACACAGGCAGTAACTGGGAGAAGTTGAGTCCGAGGCAGGAGGCTGAGCTGAGAACAAGCATGCCTCTGCCTAAGACGAGTCAGGGTGTCGGGCCTCGGCATGCCTGGTCTCGCTGGGGGACCCTGCTGCCAAGCCTGCATCTGGACCTGGTCTGTGTGGTCCTGAGAGCTCAGCCACTTTAACAACCAGCTCTGGCACAAGGGGCCAGGGTGGCTCTGGGGGCCAGTGGGGGGTGAGGTCTGCCCTGCACTGCTCTGTCCTGCTGGTGACCTAACAGCACAGCACAGGGAGGGATAGACCCTCTCCCCCCACCCGCCCTAGCACACACCAGTTTTCATGCTGCATTTGTGGGTGGAAGTACTTTTCTATGGGAAGGGGATCAGAGCTCTTTGGACAGTAAATTCCACAGTTTTCACTCACAGCATTTTCCACCATGGTTCAGCTTTGCTTCAGGTGCAGGGTTTACCAGCGGCCACTGTGCTTGGCACAGAGTTGGTGCTTAATATTTGTTCACCAAGTGGATGCTGACTGTGGCCTGCCCTGGGTCAGGGCTCTTGTACTGCGCCCCTGCCCCTGACACGAGCCCCCTCCTTCTAGCGGGCAAGGTGTCAGCGGCCACAGCACTGCTCTCCCGAGAGCCCTACATGTGTGCGCAGTGCAAGACGGACTTCACGTGCCGCTGGCGTGAGGAGAAGAGTGGCGCCATCATGTGCGAGACCTGCATGACCTCCAGCCAGAAGCGGGCTCTCAAGGTGGAGCACACAAGTCGGCTGAAGGCCGCCTTCGTGAAGGCACTGCAGCAGGAGCAGGAGATGGAGCAGCGACTGCTACAGCAGGGTGCACCCACGCAGGCCAAGGCAGAGCCCACCACCGCGCCACACCCCACACTCAAGCAGGTGAGCCCAGGCCTTTGGTGCTTGGGATGCGTGGGCCTCCCATGGCTGTACCTCCTTGGCAGGGAACGACCCCTAGCAGGGAAGATGTTACGGATGCTTTCGTCCACACAGCACTCAGCTGCCTGATTGTCAGCTGCGTGTTTAAATTGCACTTAATGGTGGTGTTTGGCAGTGAAAACACTAATTTGCAGTTTCTTTAGGTTTTGTAGCATTTGCTTGCCGTGTGCCAGCTGAAAAGTGCTTGTTGTCTGAAAGGACTTTTCTGAGAGCCACAGTGAGACACAAAACGGGCATCTGTAGGGAACGTCTGGGCAAGACTAAGGAGAGACAAGTTTGAAGTCAAGTTCCTCTGTGGTCTTTTTATCTTTACTTTCCCCTCATAGATCTGAAGCTACCTATGGGCAATTTCTGTCTCCCTGGAAGCTGTTTGTCTGTCTCTAAACATGCTTTTTTAAGCCCTAGGTGGCACCCTTCTCCCTTTAGAAGCAGGCTGTCCTGCATGGATGGGCCATGAGTGCCAACCAGAGGACGCTGTTGATCTTGATCTCAACTCCCCATTTGTGTAGGTCATTAAGCCCCGGCGTAAGGCGGCGTTCCGCTCGGGAGAGGCCCGCAACTGGACTAACGGGGCTGAGCTACAGGTCAGCACTGAAGCCCGGGGCCGCTGCCCGCCTGCCCCGCACCGCACCACCAACCAGCCCACACACCCCACCACCGCCAGCCCGCCAACTGCCACCAGCTCTGTCCATCTGTCTGTCCCTATCCCGACTCCCCCTGGTGTAACCTTCTGGTCTCCTGGTTTTGAACTCTAGGGACCCCACGTGGGTGGGAAGCGGTCAGAGCGAGGAGAGGTTGCGCTGAGCTTCATGCCCTCTGCGGCCCCCTGGCTCCGGCCCCCCCGCCCCCCTGAGCCTTCTCTCCCTCTCTCCCTCCAGGCCTCCAGCCAGCTGTCCCGGGGCCCAGCCGCGACACCCCGCAGCGTCCTGCACACCTTCAGCCAGTCGCCCAAACTGCAGAACGCAGCTGCAGCGCTCGCAACCAGGACCGGCAAGCATTCCGAGAGGGTCGTGGGCTCCAGCAAGGGCAGTGCCACCGCTGGCTGGAAGAAGGCAGCCCTGAGTGCAGGTGGGTGCCCCAACCCATCCGGCCTCTCTGTCCTTCCTTCACAGAGAAGCAACGCGCATGGAGCACAGAAGCACACAGAGGGCCGTCCTTGCCTTGCTCTCTCACTCAGATCTCCAGCTTTAGCTCCTCTGTTCACTGATAACACGCCCCAAGTGTATGACACCCCTGAATGTACCAGCCCTCGCTGAGCGCTGTCCAACCCCCACCCCACCTGTCCCCTGCCGGCCGCACAGGGGTTTACTGGTGCTTCTTGTCCACCCATGAAGGGCCTGCTTGCCCCCCACCCTCAGTCTGTGACATGTCTGGTTGAAACAGAGCAATGAGGCAGGGAGGGGGCGCTGAGGGTGGTAGGGCTAGGATTGTGTCCAGGTGGTAGCAAAGCTTCCAGACCCAAGGGAGAGCCAGGGGTATTCAGCACCAGCCACCGTGGGTGCCTCACCGCCACTGTCATTGGTATTGGTCCTGTTTGTTTTCTTACGTCCCAGTGTCAACACAGGAGTTAGACATTCTTTGTGTGTCCCTCAAAAATGGGACAACAAAAGAGAGGCACATGGGAGAGGTTGCAGAAGTGGCATGTGTCCCTGTGTGTCCTTGCATGTTCCCGCAGAAGGATGGCTGCCCTGCGGCGCCATTACACACAGACCCTAGTGAGAACTGGGAAAGTGAGCTGACACAGATTCCAAGAGAGTTGGTGTGCAGGGAGGGCAGTAGGTTCTGCGCAGCGGGTCTGCATCCTAGAGTTAAGGAGCATAAACCATCACAAGGCCAGCAGTCAGTGCGTGTGATGCAAGCACAGACTCTTGCTGACTGGCCGTTACTCTGTGAATGTGCCTGTGTTTGAGGTCAGCAGGGAGTTAGTGTGAGCTGGTGTATGCACAGCTGTGGCGGCTTGCGCGTCACATGTGCGTTTAGGAGGAGCTTGCAGGTGTGAAGGAGTAGATAGCTGGAATGTGAGAGTGGAGTAGTTCAAACATCATCTCCCCGCAGGAGTCCCAGGGTGTCCACATTCCCCCCGGGGGCACGGCTGTGGCTCTGGGGCAAGGCGGGTACGACGTAGTCAGTGAGCACAGGCCCTAAATGTGCTTCGTGTGACCTCGGGACACTTTTCCACAAACATACTAACCTCCACCAGAATTACTCCTGGGGTAGATGGTGACTCTGGTCCTCTCTGGCAGAACCCTCTGTGACGGGGATGGGAGACCAGAAATCTCTGTGTATGTGTGGGTGTGGGGTCATCTCCTTATTTCTGAGTATAAAAGTAACACTGGCTCCTTGTAGAAATGTAGAAAATACAGGGAGGGTAATGGCCCATATTTTCTACCCATGAGAGCATGTTGCACTGTGGTGCCATGTGCCACACGCATGTGAATATCTGTCCTTTGGGGGACGTGCTGTGTGCCATTCATGTCTCCTAATGCTTTGGTGAGAAGATTTATTGTGCCGTTAAAGATCCTCCGAGGATGGACCTGTTGTCAGTGGCAGTCATGTCCCGTTGTTGCGTGGCTCGTCTGTTGACAGGTTGTGTGCGGGTCTCAGCAGTCCCATGGGGGCACCTTCATGTAGACTGTGAGGATTGGAGAGGTGACTGATCTCCAGCTGTCGCCTCACATGTGGGAGAGGCAGGCTGGATACATCCAGGGTGATAATCAGTGTCACCAGGGCACCTTTCAGAAAGATCATACCATGGCCTCAATGCAGGTCTCTCCATGCTCACTGTCAGTGTCCAGATGTTTTCCATGTAGTGATGACATTGTCCTCTTGTGGCTTTCTTTCTAGTTGGGGATGAGCAGGGAGGAATTGGTCATTTCTTAGACTCTCCTAGGATTTGATGGTGATGCTGCGGCCAGTGGGCCTGTGGCCCTGCTCAGGGTCCTCTGGGGTGGGGTCCTCCTGAGTAGGGGTCCCAGTGGCAGTGGCGCTGCTCGGGGTCATCATGGGTAGAGTCCCGGCAATAGCCAGGCTGACCCTACAGTGCTGTGTGCTCTTTGACCCCCACGGTGCCACGTGCTCTCTGTTTCAGGTGGGGCCCTCGCCTTCGTCAGCCCGGGCCTGGCAGTGCATAAGGCGTCCTCGGCCGTCGACCGCCAGCGCGAGTACCTCCTGGACATGATCCCACCACGCTCCATCCCCCAGTCAGCCACATGGAAATAGTGGAGACCCGCCTCCCTCTTCCCTCTCCCCGCACGGCTGCCTCTGCCGAGAAAGGCTGCGCTGACCTTCTCCACCTGGGAGACGCCGTTGCTCAGTGTGGTCACCAAGCAAGCGACCTGAGACGCCGCAGAGCCTGCGCAGCACTGGGCAAGGAGGACTCTGCCTGGAGGGACCGCGCGGCTTTCTTCCTTCCTTTCTTTGCCTTTAGTTTGCCGTCACCAGCAGAAAAGTGGACCTGGGGCTGGTTCTGCATTGCCCCCTCCCCTAATCCAGTTCCTGGCAGACGAGATCCCCTGGACATGACACAGCAAGTGAGAGTGGCCAGCCCTGGCACCGAGGGGGCAGCCACTGCTCTGCTTCCCAACCCTGACACCCTCCATCATGGAGGCCCGTCATTTGATGTTATCATTGAATCGCCTCATGATGACGGAGTTGAAAGCGAGCTGTGCAGACCCAGGTCCTGGTGGCATAGCGTCGGCCCTGTGATCTAGGGGGCAGGCAGCTGGTAGCCCGAGATGGGACTGGCCCCACAGGAAGCCCTTCGCTGCTGCTCATCTGATGACCTTGGGACCCTCGCACTCAGCAGAACAAAATGAAACCAGGCCCGCCGGAGACCAGGGACCTGGACACACATTGCTGGCGCGGAGGGAAGACGGGCGCAGAGCCCCGGAGCTTGGCTGGGAAGCAGGAGGGGGCTGCTGTTTTTTTTTCTGGTTTATTTTATTAAATTTTCTCATTTACTTTTCCTACTGATTTCGATGGACGGAATCATACGCCACCCTGACCGTGAAATAAGTGTCGGGTGCTCGTAACAGGTGTGTCCCGGGTCGGGGCCCGGCCCAGGTGCTTCTCCTGCACCCCCTTCCCGACTTCAGGATTTCAGTGTGGGTCTAGTCTAGAAACCTTCCCTTACAGTGGGGGTGCTGTCGTGGGTCATCCTCAGGTTTTTCTACCCCTTAGTGTCCACAGAAATGTCTTTAGAAGGATCAGTTTGTTTTGTTTTGTTTTTTTCTCCGGCTCTTTAAAGCCAGGCTCCACGGGGAGAGGTGAAGCTCCGTGTCTGCCGCACACAGCCTCCCCATGAGGGCAGCCCAGCCCTGGTCTGCCACTGCCTCCAGGTGGAAAGTTAATTTAAACCCTTACTTTGCAGGGCCCCCTCCTTCAGACACAACTACTACTGTAATAAAAGCTCATGTAACCCCTCTTTCTCATGTTGTGTGGATAATGTCAGTGTTTAGGAAACATTTTTGACAGCAGTAGGAGACCTAGTTTTGCAGATAGTTCTAATTTTTTGTTGTGTAAAACCCCAAATTTCTTATTTGGTTTTTGTTTTGAGCACATCACTTCAGTGAGCCGAGGAGGGGAGGGTGGGGCACAGCGGCCTTCCTCCTGAGGTCTAGGGGTTTAGAGGAGAGGAAGGACATCGACATTCAGGAGGGGGGAAAGAAGGGTGTGTTTTTACACCCAAAAATTCAAGAGTATGCAAGCGTTTCTATTCCTCGCATTTTTCTGTGTGCCTGGCAAATAAATACCTATCTTATTACGACCCTGAGCTGTTGGCCCTCTCTGTTCACGCCACGGGCCAGATGCTCCGAGTCCTCTGAGAAGGAGTGCCCGATGGCCCTCCCTTGGGGACAACCAACTTCATGCTATGCAGAGAAGCAGCGCAGCGCCAGGCCATGGCACCCTGCGTTGGCGGCTTCTGGCGTGCTCTCTGGGTCTGTGATGAGGGCCGCCAGCCCCATCAGAACCTCGCTTCCTCCATCGTGCTCAGGAACCATTGCTCCGAGCCCGCGGGACGTTCCTCCTGGGCTTGGGGCTTGGACAGACCTTGTGAGTTAAGTACAAACTGTGACCCCGCAAGGGAAGGGGTGTCTCAGGTGGAGGGGACGGGTGGGCCAGGTCCTGGCTCTGCCCTCCACCCCCTCGGCCACTCTCATCAGGGACAACATACTGTGACTTATGGTAGCTTTTTTTAAAGAGGCAAGAATGTAAGACGCCTTAATCTTTAGTTAATTTCTACTACCTTGAAATTCCCACTTTCCCCCTTTTACCTTGTTCCCCATTGCGGTGTAATTTCTATTATAAGAAGCCCCAGATCACGGGTGGTTCTGTGATGAAATTTATAATGATATAGGACAAGACATTAAATACCTCTCTGGGTGGGGGTTTGAACAAGCAGTTGGAAAGGGCATTGGTTAGCGTTACGGTTGTCAACCGTCAGCGCAGAGCTCACCCCTTGAGACTGCCACAGTCCTTGCAGTCCCCAGGACCTTTGAGGATGTGGGAGCCCACAGTGACAAGTGACCGATGATTGTAACAATCCCAAATTACCTGTCACAAACCCCTGGTGGCAACTGGAAACTTAAAAAGTATTGCCATGCTGTTTGAGCAAAATTCGTTTCTCATCTGGGTTAATTTGGGGGGTTGCCACATAGAAGTGTGTGCGTGCATACATACATACACACACGGATACACATGTACCTCCTTGGAACTCCCACATCTCTGACCATCCTGGCTTTGTCACAGGGTCCCAGTCAGCAGTATCCCAATATCACAAAGCTTATCTTTCATAAAGTCTTGGGTGGTGGGAGCTACCTTCAGTCCTATCTGTATTTCCAGGACAGAGGGGACAAGAGGTGACTCAGACCCCACTGTGTCCTGTGGCTTCTGGTCCCCTCAGGAATCTGGGCCCACACACACCTCTTCTGTTGCATGGAGACATGCAGGGAGGAGTTTTCTATATACATATATAAATACCTGATCCATAGGGATGTAAATAATGAAAGGTGGGCCTTGCTGCTTTGCCTTGTGGTTTTTCTTTGATGCTGAGCTATGCTGTACAGTACGTCGCCGAAATAACTTGGACTGAGCTTTTTTAAAACCAACAGCAAGCAACTTTTATATTCCTTTAACAAAGTGTAATAGTTACACTAGTGCAGGGTATTTGGGGGTCTTGGAGGGAGGCTGTCACTTGTATATTTATTGTGACTCTAAATCTTTGATAATAAAACATGTTTAAAAAAAATGTTTGGCACCACACCAGAACAGACAGTTCCAGTAAACGAAGACGCTGGAACCGATAACTATACGTTGTGTCGTGAGGTGATTCTAGAATCTGAAGGACAATAAAGAAATGGACCATGTGTTGGCTGTACTTCTGTTTTATTCTCAACCGTGTTTCCTGAAAACACTGAGAAGGGGGTACAAGAGGGTGGCTGAGGGCTGAGGGGTCCCTCCCCAGTGGGCAGCCGTGGACCCATGGCCTCGCCTGTGACTCTCTTCTCCAGGATTCTTCGAGTAAAAAGCCTCCTCCAGCCTCCAACCAGAGGGACGGAGTTTTCTGGAACTTTCTAGGCTGGGCGTCACCTTGGGAGCCATTGCTATAGAATATGAAATTACAGATGCATGTTTCAAGCACAGGGGTCACCCAGACCTCAGGAAATGTCCCAGGCATGGAGCCAGCTCTGAAATGAGCAATTCCTGGTGAAAAGTTTTCAGATTTAGACACTTAACAGTTTTTTCATGAGACATGTGACTACTTTGATTAATTCCACGGTGTGTAAAATGTGGCCCCATTAATTTTTTTTGCTGGTTCTTGATGCTTGGGAGCTGTCAGCACCCCCTGGCCCTCATAGTCTCTTGTGGAAGCCAGGAATTACCCTGCTTCACAGACAGATGCAGAGAGCTGGTTGCAGACGTAACAGAAACCACACCCAAGCCTGTCCACCTCTGTTTATGGGGCATTTTCTAGGGGCGCCGCACCGTGACCTCAGTTACTCTTCCTGAGGGCGGATGTGAGTTCTGGGCTTCCCTGATCAGGCACCAAGCTCCTTGAAGACCAGGGCAGATCCTGAGGTGAGTCTGGGCCATGGTCTCCAGTAGGCTGACCACTCTGGGCCACAGCATCTCCACCTATAAAATGGGACACCAGCCTTAGTCCGTTGGACCCTGTCTCATCTAATATCGTGGCCCATCTGCTCACGAGCACTATGGAGGTGTGGACAGAGATGAAGGGCCTGGGTTCTGGGGACGGTGCTGACAACAGATGGAAACATCACACCTTGAGATGGGGACAAGGAGGGAAAGCAAAGTGTCAGGGAGGAGGTGATGTTTGCCCCGAAGAAAAACCAGTTGCCATCAAGTCAATTCTGACTCACTGTGACCCCATGTGCAGAGGAGAACTTCTCCATAGGGTTTTCGAGGCTGTGACCTTTTGGAAGATCACCAGGTCTTTCTTCCAAGGTGCTGAGTGGGTTTGAACCACCAACCTTTCAGTTAGTAGTTGAGTACTTAATGTTTGCGCCACACAGGGACTAAGATCTCTATGGGGAGCCCTTCAGATTTAATTAGAGGGGCCCAGTTTTCTGTCTCAGCTCTGATGAGATTCAGCCAGGATCTGAGGGCAGCAGTTATCTGCAAAATGGGGTGAAGAGGACCACAACCTAAAGATTTGACGGGGGAGGGGAGCTGGCACTCAATCTCCATGGCGCCAGGGAGCCATGGAGGTTGAGCAAGCAGGGTGGGACATGACCAGACCCACAAGTGCAGCAGCTCGCTCAGAGACTGTGGGGCTCAGATGGAAAAGATGGGCGGGATTAGAGTTAACCTAGACATACACCCCAGACAGCCGCTGTGACCAAACCCAGTAATCTTATTGTAGGCAAAATAAAACCCAAACTCCCCCAGGACCTCTAGAGTCCCCGGCCACAGATACGCCCCTCTCCACCTCCTCTCCCTCCACCTTTCCCAGGATGGTTCCTTTGGGTTCAGCTCAAATGTCATTGCTCTGGTCCCTCCCTGGACTCCCCCGCCCCTGATTTAGCACAATTTAGGATCATCTTATTCCAGGCCTTTCCTTTTGTTTTTACTTTCCACTTGCCTCCTTCAGATGGGTCCAAGCATCTTTGCTGAGTCCCAAGCCTGGCGCTCAATAAATGCACGAATACACGGGTGAACCAAGACTGAATGAACTAGCCAACCCATGTCCTGCCGCTACCCCCCGACTCTTCTCCCCCTGGGCTGGCGAGGCCGCCTCTCACCAAGGGGGGCTGCTCCGCTTCAGACAGATGGGGTTCGCATCCCAGCTGTGTTCTCGGGCAAGTGAGAGCTGTGAAGGCCTCAGTTTCTTCATTTGTAAAGGCTCAGTCCACACTGCAACAGGAGCCCTCCTCCCTTCCGTCCAGTGAAACCCCAGCAACCCTATTCCCAGAACCACTACCGCGGGGACGATCCCAGAGTCCCACCTCGAGGCTGCCCAGGCTGGAGAGCCTGAAAAGCTGGGTTCGAATCTCCCCCAACATCCCGTTGAGGTCTGCAGCAGGAGCCTCAATTTCCCTATCTCGAAAATGGATCGCCCGTGCCTGCCTTCCCCCCAGGGGAGGGACCCTTCTGCCCCGAAAAGGGGCCACAGCTAGAGCCAGATGCGAGGAAGAGCGTGTTTATTGCAGATTCCGGAGGGGGCCGCGCCCGGGGCGCACTGCGCCCGCCTGGCGCCCGCTGTCGGCCAGGGACGGACTCCGCGCACGCGCGTTCGCTCGCCGCTGCTCCTCGGGCGCGCGCCGCCCGCCGCGCGGCCGTCGCTCGTTCCGCGCAGGCGCACTGCCTCGGGCTTCCCGCACCCCGCCCCCTCCCGGGGCCTTCGCTCGGGGAGCCGGGGCGGCGCTTGGGCCCTCCCGCTCTCGGGGTTGCGATTGAGCAGGAGGAGCTCGGTTAGCAGCCACAGGGAAGAGGGGAGGGGAGGGCGCGTGCGCAGTGGCGCGCGGCGGCTTCGCGGGGTCCAGAAGCGCGTCCCTCGCGTGCGCCGCGCGTGCGAAGTGCCGGGGCCGGGGGATTGGCAGGAGCCCCGGCGGTTAGCCGGAGTCCCCCGCCCGCAGCCAACCGCTGCGCGCTACCTGGCCGGCCGAGGGCCGGGCCGACGGGCTGAACTGCAGCAGCTCGGCAATCAGGGCCTTGCAGCGCTCAGGCAGCTCGAGCCCGTCGGGGTAAAGCACGCCGCGCTTCTGGCGCCGGGGCAGGCCGGCTATGTCCGAGTCGTCAAAGGGCATGCAGCCGGTGACCATGACGTAGAGCACGACGCCCAGGCTCCACACGTCGTATTTCTTGGGGTCGTAGGGGATGCCCAGCAGCACCTCGGGCGACGCATAGGCCGCCGAGCCGCAGTAGGTGGTGCTCAGATCAGGGTAGCCGTGCGCCTGGCGGCCGAAGCCGAAGTCGGTGAGCTTGACGCGGCGCTCGTCGGGGCTGAGCAGCACGTTTTCGCACTTGAGGTCGCGGTGCACCAGGTGGTGGTCGTGCAGGTAGCGCACGGCCCCGGCGATCTGCGCGAAGAGGTCGCGCGCCTGCGCGCCGGGGATGCGTCCGCTGCGCTGCACCGCCTGCAGCAGATCGGTGGCGGCTGCTTCCATCACGATGTACAGCTTTCCGTTGCACACCTCGATGAACTCGAAGACGTGCACGATGTGCGGGTGCCGCACGCCCCGCAGGATGGACAGCTCACGCGGCAGGAATTTGTTGACGAAGTCGGGCGGCGCGCGCCGCCGGTCCACCACCTTGATGGCCACCGTGCCCTTGTACTTTTTGGACGTGGCCACCTTCACCTTGGAATAGCTGCCCTCTCCGATAGTGCGGCCCAGCTTATATCCGAGTTCACTCAGGAGTTTGTCGCCCGACATGGTGGCGCCCGGGGCGCGTGGGGAGCAGGAGGCGGCTGCTGTCGAGGGGCGGCCGGACTCCGATCTCGGGCCTAACCCATGGCGCTTGGCACCTGCACCCCCGCACCCCCATGTGCCCACTCCCAGATCCCCGCCGCCGCGGCACCTTTTATCGCCGCGGTAACAATTTCTGCCTTGTGAAGTGACCGCAGGCGTCACCCTGCTGCGGGTAGGGGGGCCCCCTGGGCCCCGCCCCGCAGGTGCCCAAGCACCTCATGCTGTGTGACTCATAATCGCCCAGAACGGCCCAGTTCCGGAGAAGCGGCCCCCCAGCCGGGCGTCCCAACCACACTGGGGAGCAGAATCCGCGCCTGGGGTCTGGGCGCCGCCTCGTGAGTTGGACCCTGGCTAACAGCCTACCTTTCCCCCGACTCCGTGTACCCAGCCCATGGCCATGTGGAGTCCTGGGCTGCCCACAGAATCCCCCGAAGTGGAGACAACGGGGAAAGAAACTTGACTCAGGGACCTGGCTCCTTAGGGGAGCGAGGGACTGGGGGTTCCTGACTGTCCGCACTGCACCCCTGAAGGAAGGTGAACGCGAGATCCTTTACTGCAGTGACCAGGGCGTCCCAACGTCCAGTCTGGGAGATAAGGAAATAAGGACTCAGACGCGCTGCAGGGGCCAGGCCCGACACCCCCAACGCTCCGCACCATTTAGGAGCTACACAAGCGCCACCAGCCCGGTCGGGAACGGCTGAGACTTCCGCCACACTCATCATGGCGGCGGCGGCTGCCTGGGACGTAACTTCCGCCCACGGCCGGAAGTGCAGGGCCCTGCGAGGATGGCCTCGTCGAAGGTGAAGCAGGACATGCCCCCGCCAGGGGGCTATGGCCCCATCGACTACAAGCGGAACCTGCCCCGTCGGGGACTGTCGGGTCAGTGTTGCCCTGCGCCGAAGTGTCAAGGTCTGGGGCCCTCGGGCCGCCGCGGCGGGGACGGGATGGCGAGCGGGCCTCAGACAGAGTCCGGGGATCCCCGATAGGTTCAGTAGTAAGAATAGTAAGTGCTGCGATTTGCTTCCTTCTCGTAACAGCCTAGGAGGTCGGTCCCGTTAATTACTCCTATTTTACAGAGGGTAAACCGAGGGTGGCTCAGCCGTGGCCCTGGCTCTTGGCCGTGCTCCGCCTTCCCAGGTGGGGAAACTGTTGCCGAAGACAGGCTGCGACTTCCCCAGGGTCACTCTGGGCCGAAACCCGGAGGATGTCCTGTGCAATGGCTCCTCGCTGGGGCCCCCTCACCTGAAGGGTGGCCCAGGAATCTGTATTCTTAAATTTTCAAATGTTGTAAGTAATATTTTACCTTGGGTTCAACACAGAAAAAGGTAAAAGAGAAAGTAAAAGGCGTCCACACTCAGCGTCCAGGGTTAACAGAGAAATAACAAAATTTAAAACATAATTTAAAGATGAGCACAATTGCCAAAACTCAACAAAGTTTACATTTAAAACCTGGGATGTAGTTGTATGCACATTATGCTTCATTTTAAACAAAGGGAAAAGAATTTGTGGGCATGGTAAAAAAGTATTAACTCAGACAGAGGAAAAGTCAAGTCTTGAGTCTTCCCTTCACCCCATTCTTGTTTTTTTGTTTCCTGGAACAGGAGAGGTAAACTGTCTCTGTGAAGGGTCAGATAGTAAATATTTTAGGCTTCGCAGGCCACAGGGTCTCTGTCCCTGCTACCTTTTCACAACCATTTACAAATGTAGAAACATTTTTAGCCGGAGGGCCATACAAAACCAGCCTGGCGGCTTTATTTGACCCAGGGACACTAGTATACCCAAATTCCAGTCCTAGAACAGGTTGATGGACTATGACATGATGTTTTTGGGTGCCATCCAGTTGATTTTGCCGCATCGCGACCCTACGTTGACAGAGTAGAACTGCCCCAAAGGGTTTCCTAGGCTGTAATCTTTATGGGGGCAGGTCGCCAGGTCTTTCTCCCTCGGAGCCTCTGGATAGGTTCAGATAGCCAGCCTTTCTATTAGCAGCTGAGCGCTTAGCCATTGTGCCACCAGGGCTCCTTATGATATGATAAGAGTCTCCCCGTTTCTTTTATCGAGGTGTAACAACAACCAGCCCATTGCCCCCCTCAGGTGTATGTTGGGATATCTGTCTGCATGTGTGCACCTGTGTGACCTAGACTCAGACACGTGGGCTCCCAGCTCCCCCCAGTCCACATCTCCCGTTTTTGTTTTTAAGTCCCTAATGTGCCTTTCACCCTGGACCTCTTTGGGTTCATGACATTGCAGTGCACCAACTTTTCTTGTAGTACAGGCAAACATACCTGGGTCTTTTTCATGCTGTGAGCAGTGAGGAAGATACTCCTTTTGTGGTGTGGTCTTTGTTTATGAGGAAGCAGCTTTCCCAGGACCCCCTCACCCGTGTGCCCCTCCTTCATGGCCCTGTTCAGGCCCAGCCCTGTCCCAAGGGGCTCACAGCCTAGCTGAGGAGACAGATACCATCGCACAAGAATTTCCAGTTGTGAGGATAAGGGGACTGCCTTAGCCAGGGGACCCTGTGGTGGCAGGGAGCATCACTCTGAGAAGGAGCCTCCAGGGAGAGGGACACAGCAAGTGCACAGGCCTGCTCCCATCCCCACAGCCCACCCTCCCTTCTCCTGTCTGAGGCCTATGTCCCTAAGCCTGACACCCACTCCCCACCAGCGGCTAGAACATGCCAGGCTGCCCAGGCACCTCCCTTTAATCCACAGTGCTCTGACGTGACTTCCACCCCCTTTTCCACTCCTCGTCTCATTTGCCCCAACACTCTACTCCTTCCTTAGTCCAAGCTGGTGCCCTTTCTTATTTTTGTGTCTTTAACATCTTTATGTAGATATATATAATCTATATGCCATACAATTCACCCATTTAAAGTGTATGATTTAGTGGTATTTAGTACATTCACAGATAATGCAACCATCACCACAATCAGTTTGAGAACATTTTCATCCTCTCAAGAAGAATCCCCATGCTCATTAGCAGTCACACACCATCCCCTGCAGCACCTGGTGACCACTGATCCACTTTCTGTCTCTGGATTTGCCTATTCTGTGGTTAACAGCTCGGCTGCTAACCAAAAGGTCAGCAATTCAAATCCACCAGCCGCTCCTTGGAAACCCTATGAGGGCAGTCCTACTCTGTTCTATAGGGTGGCTATGAGTTGGAATTGACGGCAATGGTTTTTTTTTTTTTGATATTTCATATAAATGGATAATACAGTATGTGGCTCCATTGCATGGATACATTTTGTTTATCCATCAGGGATGGGCATTATGAATAATGCTACTATGAACATTTGTGCATATGTTTTTCTATGGACCTGCATTTTCGTTTCTCGTGGGTATATACCTAGGAGTGGAACTGCTGGATCATATGGAAACTCCACGTTTAGCATTTTGAGGATCCACCAGATTATTTCCACGGCGGCTGCACCATTTTACATTCCTACCAGCAATGCACAAGGGTTCCAACTTCTCCACCTCCTCAACAACATGTTATTACCTGACTTTTTTATTGTAGTCATCCTGGTGGGTATGAGGTGGAATCTCATTGTGGTTCTGATTTGTATTTCTCTGATGACTAATGACATTGAGGGTTTTTTCATGTTCGTATTGGCCATTTGTGTATCTTTCTTCCCTTGGCAGGTATATGATTTTCAAATACTTTCTCCCTTTCTGAGGGTTCTTTTTACTTCCTTGATGGTATTATTCGCAACACAAAAAGTTTTAATTTTCATGAAGTCCAGTGCATCTGTTTTTTTTCTTTTATCACTGGTGCTTTTAGTGTCATGTCTTAGAAATAATTGCCACATCCAAAGTCATGAAGATTTACTGCTACATTTTCTTAGCTCTTACATTCAGGTCTTTGATCTATTTTGAGTTCACTTTTGTGCATGGTGTCAGGAAGGGACACAGCTTCATTCTTTTGCATGTAGAGATCCAGTTGTCCCATTTGTTGAAAAGACTGTTCTTTCGCCATTGAACGGACTTGGCACCCTTGTCCAAAATCAATTGACCGTAAATGTATGGTTTATTTCTGGACTGTCAGTTGTGTTCCATTGATCTGGATGTTTATTCTTACTCGAGTGCCACATTGTCTTGATTACTGCAGCTGTGTGATAAGTTTTGAGACTGTGAAGTGAGAGTCCTCCAGTTTTGTTCTTTTTCAAGATCGTTTTGGCTATTCTTGGTCCCTTGCAGTTCCAGGAGCCTTGGAGGCATAGTCGTTAAGCGCCCAGCTGCTAACTGGAAGGTTGATGGGTTGAGCCCACCAGCCACTCCAAGGGAGAAAGATGTGGCAGTCCGCTTCTGTAAAGATTACAGCTTTGGGGCAGTTCTTCTCTCTCCTATAAGGTCCTTATGGTCAGAACTGACTTGATGGCAGTGGGTTTGGGTTTTTATGATTTGCAGTTCCATATAAATTTTATGATCTATTTGTGACTTCCTGCAAACAGGAAAGCTTGGTTTCTGACAGGGATTGCATTGACTCTTTAGATGAATTTAGGAGTACTACCATCTTAACAGTGTTCATTGTTCTAATCCATGCACATAGATCTTTGGGAGGGGTCTGCACACCCTGCTGTGTGTGCACCTCCCCCACCAGACTGGCAGCTCCCAAGGTTAAGACCCCCACCCCCACCCCCACCCCGTGGGCCTGGTTTCTTTGGCCCTAAAGCTTTCGGCTGCTGAAGAGATGAGTGAGAGTCTGCATGGACTTCGTGCAGATATGCGGGGTCCTGCTGCAGCACCTTAAAGTCTGTCTTCTTGGAATTTATCTTACAGACAGGCTAATATGAGTACCCATGTGTGAGGGTCTCTGGAAGGCTGCACACAACTCCATCTGCCCACAAGGCCGGTTAAAGGCGAGGGTCCCCAACCCCTGGGATGAGGCAGCTCTAATGAGAAACTCTCACGGGAGAACATGCTGGTGTTGTGGAAACACCATGGGGAGGAGCATTTGAGTGTGCTGGGCCAGTTCTGAACACGTGGGATCTCTCAGGGGAGACTCAAGGGATTGAGGTCCTGCCTCTGAGCACAGGGCCTGGGTGCCTTATGACTCTGCCCCCTTGTAAGGTGGAGCTGTCTTACCTGACCTCCTGTTTGCAGCAGGTGAGCATGAGGGGTCTCTCCTTTACCTCATGTCCTATTCCAGCTGGGTCAGGACTCCAGAGGCCCCACTGCAGACAGGGCAGCCTGCTCTGGTGCCCTGAGCCCCGTGGGCCCAGGCATGGCCTCACCCACTGTTTGCCGATCATTTACTGGGTGGTCACTAAAGCCTGGAGTGGTGCAGTGGCTAACACGCTCGGCTGCTAACCAAAAGGTTGGAGGTTCGAGTCTGCCTAGAGGAGCCTCAGTAGAGTGGCGATCTACTTCCCCAAAATTAGCCATTCAAAACCCCATGGGCACAATTCTGCTCTGACACATGAGGTTGCCATGAGTCAGAATTGATTTGGTGGTGACTGGTTGGAGTCTCTGGGTGGTGCAGTGGTTAATGTGCTTGGCTGCTAACCAAAAGGTTGGAGGTTTATGTCCACCCAGAAGTACCTAAGAAGAAAGGCCTGGTGATCTACTTCTGAAAAATTAGCCATAGAAAACCCTATGGAGTGCAGTTCTACTCTGACACTCACTATGAGTCAGAGCCAACTTGGTGGCATCTGGACCTAAAGCCCAGTTGCCTGAACCCATTGATTCCTCCCAGCACCCACAACATCCCAGCTGTCCGTCAGGATTAGCACCTGCTGGTGCTCGTAAATATTCATGGCAGCCTCTGTCCCCCAAGCATGCAGGGCAGGGGGCTCAACCCTGCAGCCCCAGACCCCACTGGGCTGGGGCAGCCCCTTCAGGGCCCCAGCTGCCTCTGGATACCCCACGCAGCCCCCCGTGGGCAGAGTGCAGAGGGAGCCCAGGGAGCCGAGGCTGCATGGAGCTGGGATGGCCGAGAGCACCATCAGAGCCACTCTTCCATGGGGGCCAGCCTGCTGACCAGGGGCAGGGTGACCTTCTAGAGGATGGAGTGGGGGCACCCAACTGCAAACATCTAGACCCCCCAGGCAGAGCCACCACCCCTCTTCCCGCAGGCTACAGCATGCTCGCCATGGGCATTGGGACCTTGCTCTTTGGCTACTGGAGCATGATGAAGTGGAACCGCGAGCGCAGGTAGGAGCTGCGGGGCGTCTGGGGCATCTACTCAGTGTCTAAGGGTCACAGGGAGGAGAGCGTGCGCCCCGGGCGGGCAGGGCAGAGCAGAGGCCCCTGAGTGCAGGCGGAGGGCCGGCCAGCCTCTGCCAGGATGAGAGAAGTCGTGATGACCGGGCACAGACTCAATGCTGTAAAGACTTAGATCACACCACACAGGGATGGGGAACCGGCCCCTCCACCCTGTGGCACTCTCAAGCTTACCCCGCAAGGCTGGAACTCTGGGGCTGTGCTTGAGGGTCCAGTACAGGAGGAGCACTCAGTAGCTGTTGAAGGAAAGCAGGACACTAGAGTGAGCTCAGCAGCCTGCTGGGACAGCCACCACAGAAGCAGACACCTGTCCAGCAATGACCACACAGTGTGCCACTGCGATGAGGGCAGTGGCCTGTGAGGGGGTAGGAGGGCCCCCAGGGGCTGAAGTCCATTGGACACGTCCATCCACGGCGATTCCAGTCTGTCCCGGCCCCTGCTCATGTCACTCTTATCCTTACACCTGTGGGCGCCCCCTCCTCCCTAGCATGGACAGGCTCACTGCAGGGAATGTGGAAAACTCCAGAAAGCCAGAGAAAGGCACCATTGGTGGTGCCCAGGGCCAGCTGAGCACTTGAACTTGTGGTTATTTTGAGGTGGGAACATGATCTCCTAAAGCCTGGAGTCCTAAGGACAGTCTCTCCCTCCCTGGTTTACCCAGTCATCAGACCAAGCTAAAGTTTTTAATTGAAAAGATGGTGTGAAGCCAGAGTCTTGTGGCCAGAAGCCTGTGCCACCCCCAGTAGACCCGCCCACCACCCTGTGCCACCCCCCCATCACCCCGAACATGCTCCCCCACCAGTGGCCACCCCCAAGCAGACACCCTGGCCTTGGTCCTGTGCCTCTCAAGCATCACCCCAGGAAGCAGGATGTCCACGGCTGCCCCACCCCCCACCAGCCACGGCTGATGGTATCTGGGTTCCACAGGCGCCTGCAGATTGAGGACCTGGAGGCCCGTATTGCACTGATGCCGCTGATCCAGGCAGAGAAGGACCGGAGGTAGGACCTGCAGCAGGGGTCCAGCCAAAATGCACCCAGGGAAGGGCAGCTGAGACCTTACGCTGCCTGAGGGGTGGCAGAGACTTAACTCTGGGGGGAGCATTGGGAAGGCTTCCTGGAGGAGGGGTCATTTGGCTGGGGCAGGAAGATGAGTAATTTAGGGGCCTCTGGAGAGAGGACATTGTGGCAGAGGGAACAACGTATGCAAAGGCCAAGAGTGGGGCAAAGCTGGGAGAGGCCTTGATGGGGGTGGGATCTGGGGTGCAGGTGCTGCTTGGCCCCATCCCCTATCCTGCCCTGCAGAGTCTTGCAGATGCTGCGGGAGAACCTGGAGGAGGAGGCCATCATCATGAAGGACGTGCCTGACTGGAAGGTGGGTCCTGGTGGGGCCCAGGCTCCAGGGCCCACAGAGACCCGCCCATTGGGGCTCACCGTCTCCCAGAGACCTCGTAATCGAGTCACAAGTGGCCAGGATTGCCAGGGGCTAAGGGGTGTAGTGGGTTGGGGGAGGTGGCACCGCCCAAGCTGGGGGAGGGGGACTGCGCCCCCAGCATGCCTGCCCATACCCTGGTCCCTGCAGGTGGGCGAGTCAGTGTTCCACACGACACGCTGGGTCCCTCCCATGGTGGGCGAGCTCTACGGACTGCGTATGAACGATGAGCTTCTCAACGCCAACTACGGCTTCATGTGGTATACGTAGGAGCCGCTGCAACCCCTCCCTACCCCCCGCGAAGAGAATAAATGCCGTGGAAACTGGCTTGAGTCCCTGCTGTGTCTGCCCCCGCCAGGGGGCGGAGTGAGGTGGCGCCATAGGATGGGTCTGGAGGAGTGGCCGAGCCCACGCACTGTAGGATCACAGGTGGCAGACCGGGTGGGCCGCAGGGACTAGACCTGGGGATTCGTGTAGGGGTGACCTCGAACCGAGGAGGGCCTGGAGCCTCCAGATGGCGTGGGGCTCCACCAGCAGTCTCCTAAATTATCCCTAGATTTTCCTACCTCCATCCTTTGCATCCCAGTCTGAATGCCCTTCCTACTTAGCGCTGAAATCCTTCCCACCCTCCCCGGCCAGAGGTTTCTGAAGTTAGCGCTGAGTTCACACGATAGAGGGGTACACTGCAGTGGTTGGGGACTCCCTAGGTTCCAAGGATCCCATAGCCTGGGAGCAGAGCAGGGGTAACCGGGCCATCGCTACCCCTCCAGACTCACTTTACCTGCCAATACGCGGGTCTCTGGGAATCCCCCCTCCTCCCAAAGCAGCTTCATTCATTCCAGAAAAGGGTTAAACACACCTGCACCCGCCGACCAATGGCCGCGCTCTGCGCCTTTGCGGCGCTTTCTGGTTGGCGGGCGGCTCGGGGTAGGCGGGAGGAGGCGAGAAGAGGGCCCGCCCCTGGAGAAGTGCTTAAAAGGCGACCGAGGTGCTAGCGGCCACTGCTCTGTGTACCGATTCGGTCATGAGCGCGGCAGGCCCAGACCTGGCGGAGGCGCCCGAGGAGCGGCGTTTCCTCAGGTGAGCCGGGGAGGGGCTCCAGAAAGGGTGAGCGACCAGGATGGGGACAGGAGGATCAGAAGTCCATGGCGTGGATCCCGGATGGAGAGACTAGGCCTGCCAATGCCAACCACTCCGAACCTGCGTTGCCAGGGAAATTGTATCCAAGACAGGCCTGCCCCCTCGTGAATAATAATTCAGCATCATAATCAGCACCTCGAGACCTCCCCCATCACCCCTAGCCCAACCGGGCTTGCTCCCTGTCCATCCCTTCCAGGGACCCTGGAGCCCCAGACCAGTTCCTCAAACTCTCAGGCCACCCTTGGTGATCCACCAGCTACTACTCTCCACTTGTCCAGAGAAGGAAACTGAGATTGGGGGAGGGAAGCCACTTTGCAGCCAGGGCTGGGGCAGATTTTGGACAAAGGTCACTGGCCAGCAGGATGACGAATTTGGGGTCTGGGGCTGATGGCTGTGGCTGTGTCCCCACCTTGTGCTGCGTCTTCCAAGCCATTGCAACATGGGGTCCGGGGCAGGGCTGTGGACCTCACTGGAGACCAGAGTAACCCAACAGCTCCTTGTCTGACTGTCTCCACCCACTGTCCTCTCAGCCCTTCTCAGGGTGGATATTGTCCAAAGACTGGCTAATGTCCACATTCAGGCTAGAGATCCTGGCACATTGTAGGCAGGGAAGGAGAATGTTTTAGGAGCAGTGACTTCGCCTGGTGGTGAGGCCTCAAATGCCAACTGAGGGGATGGGGTGCCACCGGGTGCGTAGGAGCCAGAATATGGTGAGCAAAGAGGAGCAGAGGCAACGAGGTGGGAGACTATAAATGACTTGGGAGTGGTGTCTGACCTCCTCTAACTTCACAAGGTGGAAGGCGTATCAAGATCAACAGGCCAAGGATGAGTCCTATGAAGCGGAGATCAGACATGCTTCCACCCTCCAGCCTTTTTACCAATTCTGACACCATCTGTCCCTCCCACAGCACTTTGCTTCTCTGCTGGGTGCGATAATTCGTTCTAATGGCCACACAGAACTCACAGACCATACAATTATGGGGTTTGTTAGGGAAGTAACAGCTTACAATTCAGGGTCAGGAAATAGGATACAGTTCTTCCATCAGGACAGCCTCTTCTCATCTGTGTTCCCAGGCAGGTCTCTCTCTGGCCCTTGACCCTTCGGCCCAGCCTCTGCCCTGCTCAGGCAAGTGTTACAAATCTCTTTAGCTTTCCCAATAAGTGCCCAGGGCACCCCAGTCTTCCAGGAAGCCTCAGCCTGAAGGCACTCAGCTCTCTTGGTCTGTGCGCCAAGAAGCCCACTGCGCCGTCTCCTGCGGTCTCCTGGTTCTGCTGCCGCTGCTTCTCACTTGCTACTGCTACACAGCGGTCTCTCACTGTCTTCCTCGGTACAGCTTCAATCTTTCTCTCTCTCTCTCCCAGTGTTTCCCTTTAAGCCTAATGGCATGGTAAAACTAACCAATCCCCTCGTTAGGGTTCCATACACTTTGTTTGCATGGTCCCATCCCCACAAGGGTGCCATGCACCTTATTTACATTGTTAGCAAGCTGTCCAATCCCCCTTGGTGGGCCACAAGCACCTTATTTGCAGAGTTCCACCCAGTTATTTGCTGGGAGTTACAAGACCATGGTGAGAAAGGCCATATAAAAGTAATCCATTGCATGCAGAGACTCAATGGAGGGCTTGTAGGCATGGTGAGGGGCTTGAATTTTATTTTCTGAGCACCAGGGAGCTGTAGGAGGGTTTGGGGCAGGGGATGATGGAATCTGCTATTGAAGTGTTCAAAGTCCCCTGTGGCACATATTGAGGAAGAGACTGTTGTAGGCACCCAGGTGAGCCGTGACGGTGGACCAGTGGGCAGAGGTGTGAGGGTGGAGAGAAGCAGATGGATTAAAGAGAAAGCAGGGAGGGTCTGACATGGACATACCAGCCTGAGGGCTTCACCCCCAAAAGAGTCCCCGCTCATGCTTGGGGCCCTCTTGGAAGCATCTGAAGTGTCAGGCTCAGTTCCTTCTGGAACCAGGTCACTCAGCCCTTTTGAGGATGGAGGGGGATATCCTGGGGCCTTGCAGCTCCTCTCACCTGGGGGCCGAGGTTAGGGGAGCAAAAGGCATCCTCATAATTGAGCCCCCCTCCAAAGTCAAAGTTCCACAATAGCCTGACCTACCCTGTACCCACCCCCTCCCTGGCCCTGGCTCCAGAGCTGCTACTGCCCCCCACCCCCAGCCCTGGCTCCTGGCCTTGACTGCCCTTTGCCCACCTAGTCCCTGTTATCACTCTAATGACCAGTTACAAAGGAAGATTATGTTCCAAATGGCTGCCAGTGATCAAAGCTTTAGGACAAAGTACTCAGGAGGGAGGGAGAGTGGAGGAATGGATGCTCCTCCCCACCCTCCTCTTCCTCTCTTCACCTTCATTTCGGGGGTAGCAGCTGGAGCTGTCAGAAGATGAAGTTGGGGGGGCGAAATATATTCTCTGCTCACCTGATTCTTCATCATGAAAGCAACTTCTCCGGTGTTCTTTCCCAGAAGCTGATCTTTCACCTGGGCCAGCCTGACAGGTCAGCACTCTGTCCACTATGAGCTCCTTTTCCCCTCCCCATCCTTTGCCCTTGTCCTACATTGGCCACAGACAGGCCTGAGTTTAAATCCAGCTCTGCTTACTGGAGTGACCTAGAGCATGTGACTTCCCTGCCCTCAGCCCCGTTTCCCCCATCTGCATGAACCCTCAAGTTTGAGGGCCTGCCTGCCCTTGTCCTTGTCACACCTGGACACTGGCCTCCCTTCTACCCCTTGGACATATCAGGCTCACTCCCACCATAGGGCCTTTGCCCTTGCTGTTCTTGCCACTTGGACTACCTCCCATAATGCTCCCAGCTACCTCCTCAAGGTGGCCTCCTAACCCCCCCACCCCCACCCCGCATTATGCCCAACCTCCTCTCCTCCCGCTGCTCTGGCCCTGATCCTGCCACAAAATTGGCCAGAAGGTTGTCATCTCCAAGGAAGGAACTTCAGGCTTCATTCTGCCAAACCTATGCCATTTATAGGTCTGGCTTTGCTTCTTGATTCTCAGATACTGGAGGCTCACTCTCTGCAGCTCTCGAGACCATGGTGGAAGTTCTGGTTTCCGCACTTGCTTTCTCTGGGACCCTGGGCAAGCCACCTGGATGCTCTGAGCTGGCAGTTGTTCTCCCCACTCTTCTGGGTCTGGTCATCATCATCATCGTTATTATTATCACACCCCCAGTGTCCAGGTGTCCTGCTCCTTATCCTCCTGGCCTAGCAAAAGCTGGCATCAGGCTTAGATCCTGGCCAGCTGCCCCCATCCCTGATCCCAGGGTGAGGAGCATCTTTAGTCCTCAGTGCCAACTCTCCCTCTCTCCAGACACCAAGCCCGGGCCCCTCAGAAGCCCCCTCAGGAAGGGCTGGCATGCCCCCTGCTTCTAGAAGGGCCTCATGCCTGGTTTAATGTTCTGTTGTCTTGACATTCTGAGAGCCTGCAAAGGAGGCAGCAAGACTCAGAGACGTGGAGACCACCCAAATCACTCAGCGATTTGGGCCTCTCTGGCCCCAAATATTTTAACTTTATCACTACCCTGAAGAGGGGAGCATCAAAGGATCTCATAGCTGCATATCCCATATCCACCTCCCCTGAGCAAGCTGTCGAACTTCTCTGCATCCTTCAATACCCCTCTCCCCTAGTTGCCCCCAGTCCCAGCTCCCCAGAACCCTGGAGTTTGCTCAGCGATTCCCACTTCTTGAAACTCCCCTATCACCCTCATCAACGTCCTTCACGCTCTGTTCCCTCTTTGGGGGCGTCTGTCCTCCCCTTTGGGACAACAGAACCGACATCGGCTGCCACGCGCAGTTGCAGCCACCAGGGGGCGCACGCGCCTCAGGCTTCGGCGCCGACCTCCCGCTGCTTGCCAGGCTTACGATCAGCCTAGCCATCTGCTTGCCGGATAGGGAAACTGAGGGAGGTCCCCCGAGGCTCAGAGGCTGCACCGCCGCGGGGCGGAGAAGAGTCGGGGCCTGGCCTGGAACACTGGTGGGACATTTCTGGCTCCCTCTGAGTCTCTGTCTCTAAGTCTCTCTTCGTCTCTCCATCTCTCTGTGTCTCTGAGCATCTCTCCCTTGCCTCTGTCCACCAGCATAGCGGAGGCGGCCGCCCTGGAGCGGGAGTTGCTCGAGGATTATCGCTTTGGGCGTCAGCAGCTGGCGGAGTTGTGTGACCATGCCAGTGCCGTGGCTGTGACCAAGGTACCCTGACCCCTGACCCCCAACCCTGACCCCAACCAGACCACCAACCCACCAGGGCTGAGGCCCAGCTGCATGACCCCTGTGTCCAGGACCATCCAGGGCCTAAGAGGCCCCTCTGCTTGGAACTGCCCAGCCCTTCACTCAGATGGGGAAACTGAGGCCCAGAGAGGGTCATTGCTCATCATGTCCAGGCAGGAACTCGAGATCCAGGGGATTGGAGAGGGTCAGGGCAGAGGCAGGGACCTCTAGAGGCACAGAGGCTAAGCAGCCATAGGAACAGTGCTGGGACCCTCGTTGGCAGGCACTGGTCTCTCGGGGGATGCTGACTGCTGCAGTCTGAGCACCTCCAAATAACCTGTGCCCCAGGGGGTTGGAAGCAGAGCTACAGTTCCAACCCAGAAGCATCCAACCCCAGGTGGTGCTGGTGAGGTGATGCTACAGAAATAGCAATAATGATGACACCATGGAGCACTTTGTCATGTGGCCAAATTGTTCTGTGCCTCAGTTTCCTCATCTGAAGAGGGGTAATTAACAGCACAATTAATAAATGTAAATGCCTTGGAAAAGGGCCCTGGTGCTCGGGGTCCACCATTCCAGTTTCCCACTGAAAGCCCTGCATCCTCCGATGCAGTTCAGGGTTTGGGGCTGGGGGCCTGGCTGGGGTCGCAGGCATGTTTAGAGTGGGTCAGGGCCACAATGAGACCTTGAGGAGACTCAAAAGAGGAGGGAGTTGTCATCTGTGTAGTTTGAGGTCAGAGTACGGCTGGGTCCCCATAGAACCACCCAGGACTTGGGAGATGTTCTCCCCATGTGCCTGCCAGGCCATTGCTACTCCCATTTGATAGAATAAAAACTGAGGCTGGGAGACAAGGGGCGTCCAAGGCCTCACAGAGTCAGAGCAGGGCTGAGAACCTCCAACACCAGCGCTCTTAACTTCTAAGGTAAAGAGAGATGCACACACAAAGTCTGAGAGAGACACAGACAGAGAGATGGAGGCACCAGGGCATCGCTGGGTTGGAAAGTACCCCCCCACCAAGGCCTCCAGGAGGGCGAAGGCCTGGAAAGACTGGGGCGGGTTGGGGGGAGTCACTGTGGTGGAAAAAGGTGGAAGAATGTCTGCAACCCAGGCAGAGAATAAACAAACCACATCCTGGTGCTGGACAGGTGGCAGGAGGCATGTTTTCCTGCATGGGCTTGGCAGAGCCTGAGGCAAGAGTTCTGCATCTCCCATGGAGAAACTGAGGCCCCGAAAGGACCATCGCCTCTCCTAGAGTGACTTCCTCCTGTCCTATCCCATCACCTCCAACCCAAGCACCTTGTCTTCCCCTGCCCTGGGCCTCAGTTTCCCTACCTGAACAAGGGAGCATTCTGAGCGCTGTGCCTTTGCCTCTGCTATGCCCCCTCCCCAGGTGTTCCCCTTGGCAGCTCTCTCCCGGAAGCAGAGGACAGTGCTGGTTGTGTGTGGCCCAGAGCAGAATGGGGCGGTGGGGCTGGTCTGTGCCCGGCACCTGCAGGTGTTTGTGAGTAGCCAGGACCCTCAGGGTCATCCCCACCTGGTCCCTGCAGAAATTGCTTCCTCCCATTGATAGTGTACAAAATGGGGACATCAAGGCTTGGACAGGTTCCAGAATGTGCCTAGCATTTGCCTTGGGCGGGGTCTGTTGCAAGGTGTATAGGTCTAGAGTCTAAGAGGACCCCGGCAGTGACCCCCTTTTGCCCACCCAGGAGTATGAGCCGACCATCTTCTACCCCATGCGCTCGCTGGACCCACTGCACTGCACCGGGACCTGACCACTCAGTGTGAGAAGATGGACATCCCCTTCCTGTCGTACCTGCCCATGGAGGTCAGCCTTGGGCGAGTGATTGAGGGCAGAGGTGGAGACTGTGCCCGGGGGCTGCCACCTGATCCTGCCTGCCCTCCCAGGTTCAGCTCATCAATGACGTGTACGGGCTGGCGGTAGATGCCGTGTGCTGGGCCCTGGCACAGAGCTGGGTGAGGTCGGGGGCCCCTGCACGCGAGTGCTGGCCACGCTCAAGCTGCTATCCATTCCCCTTGTGAGCTTGGACATACCTTCAGGCACGCTGGGTTGGGGAGTTGTGTAGGGCCTGGGGGGCATGGGTGGGGGTCCCCACACCTCATCTCCTGGTGACCCTGGCTGGTCTGCCTGCTCTGAGCCTCAGTTTCCTCAGCGTGGATGGAATGTGCACTTGCTAAGGCCCGAGGGTCATGCCCATCCTGTGGATGGGGAAGACCGAGGCTGCCGCTCCGGTGACCCAGGCTGCCCCCGACCCCAACTTAGCCCTGCATGCCCGATGCCCACCCCAGCCCAATTGCCCGGGCAGACGTGAGCTCACTCTGCAAACGCCGCGCCCGCCCTGGCCGCCGCCCCACGCCTGCTGGAGCCATTAGGCAGCGGGCAGATGGAACAAACAGCAGCCAGCCAGCTGAACCCTCTGTGGGGGGTGGCCAGACTCAGGGATGGCTCCTGGCTCAAGGGCCATCCTAGCAGGATGCCACAGAGGTCTGCAGGGGGGATGTGGGACCCACATTAGAGGGGGAGGCGTGGGCTGTCTGGTCGGAAAGTGAAGGCTAGGGTCAAGGGAGGAGTCAGAGGCAGGAGCCAGGGGCTTCTAGTTAGTGGCCGAGACTCAGGCCAGAGGCGGGAAAGAAGGCAGGGCCCCAGACTGATGGTGGAGGCTAACCCAGAGGCGGCAGAGGCTGAGGTTCATGAGGGGGAGGGTGGGTCCTGCCAAGCTGAGGGGAAGCAGGATCTAGTCTGAGGGTGCAGGCAGGGATTTCAGGTCAGAGGGAGGAGTCTTCAGTCAGAGGGGGGAGAATGGACGCTCAGTTTGGATGGGGACGTATGTCCTTTCAAGAGCAGGGAGACAGGTCTGATGGGAGAGACTGGGCTGAGAATGGAGGTGGGTCTGTCCTCCGAGTGGAGGGTGGGGGCCTGGTCAGAGTGGGAGGCTGGAGTCTTCCTGAGAAATCTGGGTAGGGAAGGGGCTCAGAGTTGATGGAGAGGGCAGTTTGGGGACAGATGCCAGGTCAAAGCCAGAGGGACCTGTCTGACCTGGAAAGGGCAGAGGTAAAAATGATGTGGTCTGATGGCAGAGGCTGGGTCAGATGGAGAGGGAAACAGGGAAGGAGTGGGGAGGCTGGTCTGAGGGCAGAGGTTCATTCCTTGGGGAGGCAGGTCTGACCAAGACTGACAGGGGAGGGGAAGCGGGAGGTGGGGCCCTCGTCCGAGGGCAGCGGTTCAGTGTGGGAGTGGGGAGGCCCCCTGTCTGGCATGGGAGGATAGACCAGAGGCAGGCTTCTGGTCTAACGAAGCCTACCCTGCCAGCTCCCGACTGCCCCTCCTCCCTCAGGCTGGGACGCGGAGACTGGCAGCGACGCCGAGGACGAGGACGGGCTGCGGCCGGACGTGCTCGTGTCGGTCGCGGCGTCCAAGCGCTGCGCCGGCCGCTTCTCTGGGCGCCACCACTTCGTGGCCGGCAGGTTCGTGCCAGACGACGTGCGCCGCAAGTTGGCTTTGCGCCTGCCGGGATACACCCGCACCGACTGCGTCGTGGCGCTGTGACGGACACCCACCCTGGCTTCGACCCCCGCCAATAAACAGACAACCCTCCCCCCCACCTTGACTCCTCGTTTGTGCGCCCGGTGTGCCGCAGGGGTGGTCAAACTCCGGGAGGGACTTCCCACCGGTCCCACTGCGGCCCCAGGAGGGAGGGACGAAGGATAGGCATAGAGTGGAACTTTCTGGCACCGCCCCCCCACCCCCCCACCGCAGCCCTAGGTAGGAGGAAGGGAGGTTTGACTAAGGGAAGGACTTCCCGCTAGCCTCCTAGAAAACTCCAGCAAGAAGAACGGAGGGTAGACTCAGGGTGGGACTTCCAGGCTGCTCGGGGTGGCCGAAAACCGATGGAATCGAAGTTAGACTCGATGGGGACTTCCAGCCAGTCTAAAAAACTGCCTAAAGCGCGAAGATTCGGGCAACTTGAGGCGGGAAAAGCCAGGCCAGGTTCAAGAAGGACTTCCCGCCTGCAGTTTAGGGTCCCAAGTGGAGAGGTGAAGGGTGGACTCAGGGAGGGACTTCCCGCTGGCCAAATGGGTAAAGCGGGAATGCAGTCCAGCCTGAGGGCGGTGGCACAGTCGGACGCACCGAGGAGGGCGACCCAGAGAGGTTGCGCGCGTGGCCTAAGTCACCCAGCGCCAGGGGGCGGGGCCGGGGCGGGGCCTGTGGTCGCGTCCCGCCCCCACCCTCAGCCGGGAGCAGCCGCCAGACCCGTGGGAGATTGGCCCTAGCCCCCGCGGAGCCTGGATCCTCCTTCGGACGCTCGGACCCGGCCATGGCGTCACTGCTGCCACTGCTCTGCCTCTGCGTCGCAGCCGCGCACCTGGCTGAGGCGCGAGGTGAGGCGCCCCCAGCTCCCCGCCCAGCCCCCCAGGGGCCGAATGCCTGGCGGCCCGCCTTGAGAGCAGCCCCGCTCGGAGCGAGGACGAAGAGGTCCACGAGCTTTCCCGGGGCAGGGGGCCCACGGAGTTAAGGGACCGACAAGGGTAGGGAGGGGCCTCATCCTCTCTAATCCCACCGCGAAGAAACGGCAGGGGCGCGGCAGTGTGTATGAATGCCAGGCTCCTCTGAATTCCCGGAGCAGTGTGGAGCAGCTTTGAGTCCACCAGGCCCCAGGCCGCTGGGCAAAGGGGTCAGAGCCGCCCCTCCCCACCAAACCTACTCCCTGACACCCCCACAAACCGCCCGGAGAAGAAATTCCTGTCTCCGGAGAGCTCAGTGGGTCGGAGGACGGCCCACTTCTTAGATGGGGAGACTGAGGCTCCGAGGGGGAAGGGATTTGTCTGAGGTCACCGTGTCACTGCCTCCGCCCCAGGCCATCCTGGGCAGCTCGAGGCCTAAGAGGCAGGCTAGATTTCAGGAAGGACTTTCCATAGGCAGCTTGGGCCCCAAGTGGAGGGATGGCGAGTGTGGAGTGTGGGCTAGAGAGGGACTTCCCGCCGGCCAGATGGATGAAGGGGGCATGCACTACACCCTGAGGGTGGAGACACAGCCAGACTGAACCACCAAGGGGGAGAGACCTGGGTCTCTGGGAATAGAGTGAGATACGGTTGACTCCAGTCCACGGGTTCCGGGCTGGGTCAGAGGGAGTGAAGGGGCTGGAAAACCCTGGGAGGGGTTACGGCAAGGCTTCCTGGAAGAGAGGGTGCAGCAGTCCGGGGTCAGCCAGTGGGTTGCGGCCTCTCAGACCTGTTTTCTGTGCTGTAAAATGGGAATGATTAGGGCAGCTCCCTGCATAAGACGTGCCTCCCTCCCTCCCACTGCTAACCCCTCCTGCAGATGCCTTCCCCACCGAGGGGCCCACAGGGACCGCGTGGGGGTTCCACGGACAGTCACCACCCTCTGGCCAGCCCTCACCAGCCCTGGACAACTGGGAAGGTGAGTCAGCCAGGGTCTGAGTCCGACCCTGCTGGGTGAGCTGGGGGTGGGTGGGTCATCTGATGAGGGGACACAAGGTACTGAAGAGCCCAGGGCCGTTCGTGACCCCTGGATGTGGCAGCCCCTGGAAGTGGTGCCCCAAGAGGTCTAAGTAAGGCTGTTTGTCAAGGAGGAAAAGGGGTGTGTGTGACGCTGGGGTGGGGGTGGGGTAACAACTTGCCCAGGTGGTGCAGGGAGGCGAGTACTCTTGAACCTGGATCTCTGGTCTACTGACTGCTCTTGAGGAAGGGAGAGGGGTGAGCACCCCATGGGGGGATGATGCAAGCAGAAGCTGGGTCTGACCTGGAGGCGGCTAGCCCCTCCCGCGCCTGAGGGTCCTGGCCTCCGTGAAACGGGAGCTGTCCCGGTGGGTGCAGCTGGGCGGTGAGCAAGGTCCAGTGTTAATGGGTAAGCTGCCAGGCAGGGGCAACCAAAGCCAGGGTTGGTCTGACTGGTCTCCCCTGCTACGTTTGTAGCTCCTCACACCCCAGAGACTTTGCTGAGGGTGGGAGGCAGGCTGGGCCGGGGCTGGTCAGACTGCGCAAGATCCCAGCTGAGCCAGAGCTGGTGTAGCGGGAGGACATTACAGCTCCTTCTGCCCTGGGGGCTCTGGATTCTGGGCGGGATCGTGGGCGGGCTAAGCAAGCCTGTTCTAAGGGTGAGGGATCGGACAGCAGGTAAGGCCTTTGCCACATACATGGGGACGGCCAGGCGTCGTGCCACCCGATACGGGGGCGAGTGATGGAAGCCGCCAGGCCTGGCCCGAGTCCTAGCGCGTGCACTGCCCACAGAGGCCAGCGAGTGGACGTCCTGGTTCAACGTGGACCACCCGGGCGGCGACGGCGACTTCGAGAGCCTGGCGGCTATCCGCTTCTACTACGGGCCGGCGCGCGTGTGCCCGCAGCCTCTGGCGCTGGAGGCACGCACCACGGACTGGGCCCTGCCGGCCACCGTCGGCGAGCGCGTGCACTTGAATCCTACGCGCGGCTTCTGGTGCCTCAACCGGGAGCAACCGCGCGGCCGCCGCTGCTCCAACTACCACGTGCGCTTCCGCTGCCCGCTTGGTGAGGGCGGGGCCGCGATGGGCGTGGTTGAGGGGGGCGGGACCTGATATAGGACGGGCGTGGCTGGGGAGAGGGCGGAGCCTGAGAGGGACAGGTGGGACCGGCAGGGGAGGGGTCACCTGAGCCTCTTGTGCGCCCCAGGAGCGCGGCTCCCTTCCGCCGCCCTCATTCGCTCCTCTGTACCCGCACCGGCCTGTAGGAGTGCTTGTTGAGGCCCATCATGTGCGGGGTGCAGGAAGCACAACAGGCCCAACCTCGGGGAGCTGATCTGGGGTCCGGGAGGTGGGGCAGTACCAGTAGTGCACCTTTGACAGGTGCGTCTTCGGGCACAGGGTCAAACTGGTGGGGGCAGAGTGCAGGTCCTCCAGTCCCCGCATTGTCTCCGGTTCCAGGAACCGCAGTCCCCGGGTGGGCGGCCGCATGACTCCACTCCTCCCTCCCCGCAGAGGCTGCGTGGGGCACATGGGGCCCGTGGGGTCCCTGCTCGGGGAGCTGCGGGCCAGGCCGTCGCTCGCGCCGCCGCAGCTGCCCCGTTGAGGACAAGTGTCCCGGGCGTCCGCTGGAGGCCCAGAAGTGCGTGCGGCCTCAGTGCCCAGGTAGGAGGGGCGGGGCCTTAGGAGGGGCCGGGCCTTAGGAGGGGCGGGGTCTGGAGATTAGATTTAAGTGTGAGGCCTGGGGGGAGGCGGAGTCTGGAGAGGAGCTTGGGGTTACGGGACAAAGAGGGGAGGGGAGGGTTAGGGGAGGGTTAGGGGCGGGGCCTGAACAGGAGGAGTGGGGCTTCTTGAGGGTGGTGTCTACAAGGGTTAGGGGACGGGTCGAGAGAAGTGGTTAGGTTTGAGACTTAGAGTAGGAGGGGCCTGGAGAGAGCGGGGCGTGGAGGGCCTGAGCGCTGGGGACCCTTGGAGTCTGGCCTCTCTTTCCCGCCTGAGCCCGAGGGGCACTGGGGAATTTGCACCTCTGCGCGGTAAACACTAATGTTTCAGGAAGGGGAGTCCTGTGCAGGCACGGGCAGATCCGAGGGCGCGCTTCCCTGTGTGCACGGCCAGGCACACGGCGGGTTCTGCACGGACACACACGCAGGAGCCAGGTCCACACTCCCCGGGTGCACTCGTTCGTGGCGTCCGCAGCCCCACCCGGCCTCACGCCCACGCAGACACGCGCTCACACCCTGGCAGGCACCAGGCTGGCCGGGAGGCGACTGGAAATTCCGCTAGGCTTGTGCTCCATAAACATGGTCTGGCGGCCCTGGGCCTGTGGTGCCGTGGTGGGGTGGGGGAGCCCGGTGGCCAATGGTGCGATGGGGTCTCCACCCCACCCCCGCCTGGCTCTGCCCTCCCCGCGCCTCTTCTCTGAAGTTTCCAATGGAATTTTCCGTTTTATGGAGAAACCGCGGGATTGGAAGGGGATGGAGAAGTTCTGAAACCAAGACCTGGCCCCTAGCCGGGCCCCCAGCCCCTGCCTGGAAGGTTCCTCTCATGATAGCGGGGAATTCTCCTCCCTGCGAGGCCCTTCCTCTCTCATGTCCCCTCTGGAACCTAGGTCCCTCCCCTACCCACACCTGACCACTCAGCCTGTCTCCCACTTACACTAGGGCCCGCTCTGAGGGGGCACAAGGGAAGTCTGGGCATGAGTGACTGAAGGGACAAGCTCTTTCCAGGGCCCCTCTGCCCTGCTGCTCCCTGTGTCCCCCAGGGTGCAACCCTGATACCTGTGGGTGCCCGAACCATGTTCTCCTGGGTGTGGTGGTCACCCCATCGGGGCGACCACTACCAGCAAGGGTCTTTCTGCAAGGCCGGCCAGGCACCGTGGCCACCAGCAATGCCCACGGAAACTTCCGGGTACCTGGCATTTGTGCCAGCAGCCGGGCCAACATCAGCGCCCAGGTGGACGGCTTCTCTGCAGGCGTGGCCCAGGCCCAGGCTAATGGCTCCGTCTCAGCTGTGGTCACTGTTGTTCTTAAGAAGTTGGGTAAGCACTTGGGGGTAAGGGGCATGGAGGTGCTGAGGGAGTGGGGAGGATATTTGAGGTGACACAGAGCACTGGGGGGGTAGGTGCAGAGTGAAGTCCCTGGGGAGGAAGGAGGTCAGCCATCCAGTCAGCAGTCATGCCACAGTTACTGAGCAAGGCAGGAGGGGTTGGAGTCAAGGGAAGGAGGGCTGGGAGGAGCAGGAGGGGTGAGGCCCTGACCTCTGTACCCCTCCCCCCAGAGAAGCCATACCTGATGAAGCACCCTGAGTCCCGAGTGCGAGAGGCAGGCCAGAATGTGACCTTCTGCTGCAAAGCCGCAGGCACCCCCACACCCAAGAAATACTCCTGGTGAGGACTGTCCCATGCCCAAGGGCTTTTGTGTGGCCTTGGAGTAGGCTTGGATTCCCCAAGACACTTAGTCCTCAGAGACCTTCCAGAAGTGGCTGCAGCCGTGTTTCCCCATCTGGGAAGTGGGACGCTTTGCCAGGTGGGCCAGAGCGGGGCCAAGCCCCTTTTGTGGGTGTTTTGCTTACTTGGCAGCCCTGGGAAGGCCGCTCTGGAATGCTCTGACCCGCAGGGTGGGGGTGAATGCATCCCCTCCCCTGTACCGGGGCCCCATCTGTTCCTGCCTGCCACCCAGGTTCCACAACGGGACCCTGCTGAATAGGAGAGAGCTCCGGTACGGGGCCCAACTGGAGCTGCGGGGACTGCGCCCAGACCAGGCAGGCACCTACCACTGCAAGGCCTGGAATGACGCGGGCACCATCCGCTCAGCTGCTGCCTGGCTCACCGTGCTGGGTGAGCACCCCAACCCTCAGGCTGACCCCGATCCCAGACTGAACCCTGGGCTCCCTGAGCCCCGATCCTAGGCCCCTCTGAACCCTAACCCTGGGCTGAGCCCCTGGCCACAGTCCTTACCTAGGTTACGTGCTAACCCTGAAATGACTCCTGACCTCTGGGCTGAGCCCCTGGCCCCAGTTCTTACCTGGGTGATGTTCTGCTCCTGAGCTGACCCTGACCCCTGAGTTGAGCCCGTGACCCCAGACAAAGTCCTCATTGTCTTTTCTTGCCCCTAGCTCCGGGCCAGCCAGCCTGCGATCCCCAGCCCCTAGAGCACCTGATCAAGCTCCCAGATGATTGTGGTCAGCCAGATGGCAGCCCTGCCTACCTGGATGTGGGCCGCTGCCCTGATGTGCGCTGCCCTGGCCCCCTGGTCTCCGGCCCCCGGTGTGGGGACTCCAGCACCCGCTGCTGCTCTGTGCGGCGCCTGCAGAGCCAGGCGGTCCGCTGCTCTGGTTATGTCCTCCCTGTGAAGGTGGTGGCTGAGTGTGGCTGCCAGAAGTGCCTACCCTCGCGGGCCCTGGTCCGGGGCCGTGTGGTGGCTGCCGACTCAGGGGAGCCCCTGCGCTTCGCCCGCATCCTGCGGGGCCATGAGCCTATCGGCTTCACCTCCTACCAGGGTGACTTCACTATTGAGGTGCCACCATCCCCGGAGCGCCTGGTGCTGACCTTCCTGGATCCCAGTGGTGAGTTCGTGGATGCCGTCAGGGTTCTGCCATTTGACCCGTGGGGCACTGGTGTGTACCATGAGGTCAAGGCCATGCGGAAGCGAGTCCCGGTCATCTTGGACGCCACTCAGAGCAACAGGATCCCACTTGGTGAGCTGAGGGACGAGGCCCCCATGGGCGAGCTTGTCCTGCCTCCAGGGGCATTCCGTTTTGCCAATGGCCGGCCCTACCTGGGTGCTGTGGAGGCCCGAGTGACCTTCGTGGATCCCCGCGACCTGGCCTCTGTAGCTGCTGCCCCCAGTGACCTGCTCTTCCTGGACCACGATGGGGAGCTGACACCACTGCGCACATATGGCATGTTCTCCGTGGACCTCCGTGCCACCAGCTCTGGGGAGCAGCTGCAGGCTGGGCCCCTGGCCGTGCGCGTGGCTGCTGGGCAGATCCACATGGCTGGCCACGCAGAGGCACTCAGGCTGTGGTCACTGGACCCCAGCACAGGCCTGTGGGAGGAGGAGGGCCGCTTCCAGCGTGAGGCACCCACCGGCCCCCGGGTACGCCGGGAGGAGCGGGTCTTCCTGGTGGGTAATGTGGAGGTTCGAGAGCGGCGCCTGTTCAACCTGGACGTGCCCGAGCGCCGCCGATGCTTTGTGAAGGTACGTGTCTACGCCAACGACAAGTTCACACCCAGCGAGCAGGTGGAGGGTGCCGTTGTCACGCTGGTCAACCTAGAACCTGCACCTGGCTTCTCAGCCAACCCCCGTGCCTGGGGCCGCTTTGACAGTGCCGTCACTGGCCCCAATGGCGCCTGCCTCCCTGCCTTCTGCCACGAAGAACAGCCCGATGCCTACACTGCCCTTGTCACAGCCACCCTGGGGGGTGAAGAGCTGGAACCCGCGCCCTCCCGACCCCGCCCACTTCCGGCTGCCGTTGGCGTCACGCAGCCCTACCTGGACAGGCTGGACTACAGGCGCACAGACCACGAGGACCCTGCTTTTAAACGAAATGGCTTCCGTATCAACATGGCCAAGCCCAGGCCCGGCAACCCTGCTGAGGCCCGTGGGCCCGTGTACCCCTGGCGCAGCCTGCGCGAGTGCCAGGAGGCCCCTTTGACTGATAGCCACTTCCGCTTTGCTCGTGTAGAGGCCGACAGATATGAGTATAACGTGGTGCCCTTCCGTGAGAGTGCGCCTGCCTCCTGGACCAGCGATTTCCTGGCCTGGTGGCCCAACCCACAGGAATTCCGGGCCTGCTTCCTCAAGGTGCGCATCCAGGGCCCCCAGGAGTACATGGTGCGTGCCCGCAGTGCTGGGGGCATCCACCCACGCACCCAGGGCCAGCTCTATGGGCTTCGGGACGCCCGCAGTGTCCGAGATCCCCAGCAGCCCAGCACATCTGCCGCCTGTGTAGAGTTTAAGTGCAGTGGGATGCTGTTTGACCAGCAACTGGCAGACAGGACGCTGGTGACCATCACACCACAGGGCAGCTGCCGCCGCACGGCCATCAACACACTGCTGCACGACTACCTGGCCAGGCACCCCCCACCTGTGCCGACTGATGACCCCATCGCCTTCTCTATGCTGGCCCCACTGGACCCGCTGGGTCACAACTATGGCGTCTATACTGTCACTGACCAGAGCCCACGGCTGGCCAAGGAGATCGCCATTGGCCGCTGCTTCGATGGTTCCTCTGATGGCTTCTCACGGGAGATGAAGGCCGACGCTGGCACCGCCGTCACCTTCCAGTGCCAGGAGCCACCCACCGGCCGGCCCAGCCTCTTCCAGCGGCTGCTGGAGTCCCCAGCATCGGCTCTGGGTGACATCCGCCAGGAGATGGGTGAGGTGGCCCGAGCCCAGGCTCGTGCCACTGGCCCCCTCCGCACCCGCCAGGGCAGAGCCTGGCAGTGACCGGTGCTCGTGTCTTCCCACTGCCTCGCCTGACTCCTCCTTCCACAGGAAGGCCTTCCTTCCCTCCAAAGCTTCCTACCCCAGGCTTCTGCCCAGGCCCCTTCCCCTCCCCTCTCCTCTGCCCAGAATTCAGAGCCGACCAATCAAGGAAAGAACTCAGGCATGTCCATGGATACGGCCGCGGGTGGGGGGAGCCAGGCGAGTGAGATTGGAGTTTGCCCTGACTGTAGACTCCCCACCCCAGAGCCCTGTGGAAGTGGTGGCTCCTGGCTAATGCCATCTCCTATTCTGACGTTGATTTTGACCTGATTTCAGATATTCTGCCTCTGTTGTTCAAGGAAAGGCCTTGGGGTTTCCCATCTGGGCAAGAAGCCCCTCCTGCCAGCTATTGAGCTCGGTGATGTATTGGGACTTTACTGGGGCTCCTGCCCCAAGCTCTGATTTCGGGGTTATTTATTGAGACGAACCCTGTGGGGCTGGTCTCAGTGTGAGTGGAAGTCCAGGTCTGGGGCTAGGGGTGCTGGGGGAAGTACTGGGGCAGGGGGCACAGTTGTCATGTGGTTGGTGCTTGGAGATCCGGGGCTGGGGCAGGTGCTCAATTAAAATTGCTTCAATTTCAATCTGGCATCTGAGACTCTGGGGCTGCCAAGCACAGACACACCCTCACACGCAGAAACACACTTGAGGCACACAAACATGCATGTGCAGGTGGCTCGGCAGCCCCACATGACAGATACATGTCCAGGCCATGTGCATGCAGAGACACCCATGAGCTGCCAAGCCTGCGCAGCCCTGATTGCTGAATACGGTAGCAGTTGCTGCCCTGGCCTCGGCTCCCATCTGGTTGTGCGCCTGGGGCAAGAGCAGGTAGGGAAGGGCCCTGGCAGGGGTGCTCCTGGGCCAGGCTGGGCAGACACAGCCACAGCCACCCTACCCTGAGCCCCACCTGCTAAGCCTGGCCACACCTCGGCCACGTGTGACCACTCCAACACTCTCATCCTGGGGGCACCACCATGGGGTGGGCACTGTTCTGACTGCGTCCCCATTTTGCAGGCAGAGAAACTGAAGCCCTGAAAGGACACGCTTGGGCTGTCTTTATCCCTCTCTAGCTGTCACAGCCTCGCCAGGGCATAGTTGGGGTGCCTGGGTCCTAGAGGCGTCCTGATGGCCTTGAGCCCCACCAAGTGTACGAAGGAAGCTCTGGGGCCTGCAGTGGAGGATGGTGAGGCCGCCAGAGAGGCCTGGGGTAGGAAGGGTGCCCAGGGGAGTGAGGGGTCTGTGCATGGTGTGGCCTTCAACCCACCCATCCATCAACCCCCTCATCTACCACCTGTCCAACCCCTGTCCACCATCTGTCCATCCAGAACTTAGAGATGTCTGTCTGTGCCAGCACCAGGATCCCCAAGAGAACCCGGCCTTGGGGGCAGATAGACTCGCATGTAGACCCCAACACTCCTGTGCTCAGCCCACTGGCTCCCTGGCCCCCCCACTTCTCTTCCATCTGGCCAGGCCTGTGTCTTGGGCCTCTACACCTCCAAGCCCGGCCTAGCCTCCCTTTTCTCAGGCCACTCCCCGTCCCGGGAACACCATTCCCTCTGCCCTGAGAACAACCTGGGGATCTGGGGTGGGGGGTGGGGAGAAGCTGCCAAGTCCATGGGCACCAGCTTGATCTCTGAAAGTGAGGCCCAGGGCTCTTTGGGAGTCAAGCTTTGGGGAGCCCCAGGCCCTGGCACCCCAGCTACACCCGGGCAAGGCTGTGACAGCTAGAGAGGGGCCAGGCATTTATCTAGAACTTACCATGCACCTCCCAGCAACCCACACCCTAGCCTCAGAGGCTCGGTAGCCCCACGCCCACGGCAACATGGACAGGGCCTGTCTGCCCCCAGAGCCCAGCTCAGGACTGCCTGGTGGGCCCTGGGGAGCAGCAGAGTTGGGGCAGGGTCCAGACTGGCTGGTGTTCTCAAGCCGAGGGTGATGAGGTATCAGGCTTCATAGCCAAATACCTTTCACTGAGAAAGTTTTGGAGCTGTGGCTGCTGCCAGGAGGGAGCAGCAGGGTTTGGGGAGAACAGTAGTTCCAGCCCTGGTCCTCCTTCCCTGAGGGTGGGTCCCGGTGGGGGGCGCCTTCCTGAACCCCCCTCCCCAGTTTCCGCGACTGGGCCAGGGTGAGCAAGGCCCCCCAAAGGAAGCAGGCGCAGGAGGGCTTTGGGCAGAGGTGCAGCCCAAGCACGTCTTGGCACAGGGCCGGGAATTGCCAGCTCGGCCTGTAGCGCTGGCCCCTTCCCTAACCGCTGCTGGCGACTCTCCAAGAGGGCAGTGTTTGGCCCTAATTTCCAGAAGAGGAAACTGAGGCTGCAAGAGAAGGAAGCCATCACCCTGAGCCAAGAGCCTCTGGCCTGTTCGCCTTTCATCTGCTCTGTCCCTCATCCCTGCCAGGACCCGGCCCCCCACTTCCTAGAACAAGGAAGGGCTGATCTGCCCCCTGTAAATCCATTCCCCCTCAGCGGGGGCTGCCAGCCCTCACCCCCTCGATGTGCAGAGGAATTGGGGGGTGTACAGCCCCCCCAGAGACCGCGGCTCCAGCCGCCCTGGGGTCAGCCCAGGGAACAGGAGGCCTTTTGCCTGCCCACGGTATTTTAGACTTTTATAATTTTAGAACCAGGGGTTCTTAAAATTCCTAGCACAAGGGGAGAAAAATCTTGGAACAGTAAAATGCATAGACCAAGAGAGTCTTAAAACCACAGAATCCATGAGGAAGACCATAAAATCAAGCACACATTGAACACTGACTGAATGTGAGCCCCACCCCAAGGCCTAATTTACTCTAAGGGTGTTTAATGTATATTTGTTGTCTTGAGACCCCAAGATATGCTTTTAGGGAGAATCCCTTCCACCATTTCACAGCTGAAGTGACTTACCCAGGCTCACACAGCAAATGAGGGAAGCATGGGGTCGGGGAGAGGGCAAGGTTTCATGGTGTAGGGGACATAGTCTCTGGGTCTTGAAGGATATGCAGGAGTTTACCAGGTGGGCAAGGCAGAAAGGAGTTCCAGGCAGCAGAAAAGGCTTAGAGGGCAGGAAGAGTAGCAGCAGGGAGACACGGAGGGAGGTGAGCAGGCCCTTGAATGCTGAGTGAAAAGCCCGAGTTCTTTCTGGAGGGCAATAGTGAGCCACAGAAGGTACTGGAGCAGGGGAATGTTGCACAGTTTTTCATAATAAAGACTCCCCTGGAGCTGTGTGGGGTTCAGCTTGATGGGAAGTGTTTCTTTTTTGGAACTGGGGTCTGCCTCTTCCTATGTGGCAGTCCCTGCAGGGTCCAAATCCTGTGGCCTAGCCCCCACCCCCAGCCACCTCCTGTCCTGGCTGAACATCCCTGGCTCCTCCATCGGGGCCTTGTGGACCTGGCTTGGCCACCCACCACTTCCCCAGTCCCGTCTGTCTCTCTCATCAGCCTTCCAGGTTGGGTATGACCCAGTCTCAGACCCCAAAGCCTGGAGCCAGCCTGGTGGGGAGACCTGGCTTCAGGTCAGAATGGGGGAGGGAATGTGAGCTTTAATGGTGGAAACAAAGGGGGGTGCCAGCAGGGAAAGAGCAGCCCAGGTGAAGGCTGGTGTCCTGCTACTGCCTGACCCCCAACCCAGGGCAGGAGCTGGGAGCGGGGGGAGCTGAGCAGGCCCGAGGGAGGGAGGGAGGCCATCACAACACCAGTTCCTCAAGGGAGGAGATCAGAGGAGGCTCTGACCTCAGACACTGGGGAGAAGCAGAGACCAGCTTTGGGGGTGGATGCAGGGAGACTGGCACTGCCCCACTCAGATCACACAGACCCAGACCCGTAGCACCGTCCTTGCCCTACTCCATGCTCTCGGTCACGCCCCATCCTCATCTCCACAGTCACCACTCCGATCCCCCTTCACCCTCAATCACACAGGGGAGCACGCAGCTGTGCATGCAGGAAATAGCCCCCACCGCGGGGTCATGCGCTGACTAGACACACCATGGCTGCCTGCACATGAGACATGCTAGACCTGCAGACGCTGGTGGCCCGAGTCAGTCCCCAAAGTTCACTTCCGCAAGCACACCTGGCTGCTGCTCCAGCTAGGTGCACACAGTGCCTCCCACCCTCCTGGGGCCCTGGGACTGGATGGAGTTTGGGGAGCACAGAAGGCCTCAGGATCCCAGCTGCTTTTCCAGGGAAGTCCTGAATCCCTTCCTGCTGACTTAGCGAGGGGCCGGCCCACTCGGTGCTGCCAAACCTCAGGTATGTCCTCGAAGGCTGCCTTGGCGGGGCTGGATCAAGAGGGGCACCCGGGCCCCAGATGGAGATGGAGCTTTACTGGTGGACTCCAGGGACTGGTGCCAGCACCGTGGAGGCAGACGCCTGCTGCTCGCACCCCAGCTCTTGCTGGATGAGGGTTGGGGGAGCAGGGCATCCTAGCCTGATGGCAGTTCCCTCGTAAAGGGCCTGGCTCAGGCCATGATCCTGGTCTGGAAAAAACACCTGTGTCTCAGACTGTCTGGGGGGAACTGGCCTGGCTTCCTGTCCTGGGGACTGGTACAAGGACACATACACAGACGGGCACACACATGACATCTACACACAGACCTGTGCGTACAGACATGGTTGATTACGCGTAAACCCAGCCCCAGGCCTGGCCCTTATGTGGCCCCAGTCTGAGGGAGGAGGCAGAGCTGGGCACAGGTATCCCAGCCTGTGGGGTCAGGATTGGTTCCATAGGGAGGGCCAGGGGCTGTGTAAACCCAGAGGAAGACCCAAGGAAGGCTTTCTGGAGGAGAAGGCATTTGAGATGGGCTTTGAAGGATGAGTAGGATTTTGCCAAACCAGCATCAGATCTCCAGAGGTCTCAAGTGCCAGTTTTAGAGCTTACCTTTAGCTCATGAGGATTCTGAGGAGGAGAGAGACACAGTCAGACAAACCCCTATTCAGTACCTCCTCTTGAGGACCTGGCCTCTGCCCTCCGGGAGTTGAGTCAGATGGAGGCGGCAGAGACAGACCAGCCAGGGGAGGTAGAAGAAACCTGAGATTGGTGAAGTATGTACTGTGTGTTGGGTCAGATCCTGTCAAGAACCCCTTAAGTCATGTTTTATTATTACCCCCATTTTATAGGTAGGGAAACGGAGGCTGAGAGGGAAGAACTTGCCCAGGGCCTCACAGGGAAGCAGGGCTGTCTGCCTGCAACCCTGACCTCTGACCTGCAGTCGTGGCCGCTGACAGGTCTCAAGCTGACCTTAAAGTTTGAAAAGCAGACTGTGGCTCAGATAAGTCAGCTTTGCCAAGGGCCATGTCTTGTGAACACAGGGTCCTCGCCCACGGAGAGAGACCCCCCTCCCCATGGGACGCACAAGTTCCCTCTGGGGCTTTCCAGCAAGATCACCCCCCCTTCCCTTGGTATTTTGTTGCTGAGTGCTTTAATGGGGGACTTGTAGACCCAGAGATGTCCAACTCAGGGCCTGAGGATGCTTCGCCGGGCCTTCTGGGAGGCCTGGGCCCCTGCTTGCCCGCCGTCTGGCTCAGCTGAACACAAACACTTGGAAATTGCCGACCCAGTGGAATCTGGGTTGCGGTCAGGCCATGGCTGAAGGAGCCACTGGAAAAACGCACAGCCCACGGGGCCAGGCCCAGCTTATGTTTCACCAGGAGGGAGCAGCCCGCCTGGCGCCCAGAGCTGAGGAATGTCCTTTCTCTAGCCCTTTGGAACCTGTTGTCCGAGGGGGGATTCTGGCTGCCAGACATGCCACCCTCTGTCCTCTCCCATCAGGCTATGACCTGCCTCCTGGTATGCCCTCCCAGAATCAGGCCTCTCTGCTTGTCCCCGTGGCCCAGCTGCCATTGGAGAGCCCTTGTGTGCTTGCATACTCCTGATGACGGGGAACTCACCTCCTTACAGCCATCATGCTCAGGAGACAGGAGTGCTTGCATACTCCTGATGACGGGGAACTCACCTCCTTACAGCCATCATGCTCAGGAGACAGGAGCCTGTAATTGGGCTGATTTCTCACAGGAAGATCTAGCTCCCTTGGCCACATGGAGGAGAGGTCAGCGCTGCCTGACCACACCCACTCCCCACCCCTGCAGGTCCAGCCACCTCCTAGGCCTCTCCCCTGGACATCTCCCAGATCCTCTGGGTTCAGCACATCCCAAACGGACCCAAGTGTATTTCCCCAAAACATGTTTCTTGCCCCATGGCCCTGTCGCAATGCCACCTGTCTGTCCACCTTGAGCCACAGGCTGGGCAGGTGGCTGCACATCTGTTGAGTGCCTACGGGATGCCAAAGCACTTCATTCACATCTCCTCACTGACCCCTCCTAGTGAGGTTGGTTTATTATTGCCCCACTTTACAGACGGGGAATGTGAGGCTCAGAGGGTTTACTTGGTGTCCTGGGGTCACGGGGACAGATTCTGGAAGCAGGAACTGTTCCCATCTCCAGCCTGGCTATTTCCTGCCTCCACCTTGTTTGCAGGTCCTGGTGGCTAAAAGAGGAGCTGCAGTCTGTTCGTAGGCTGGCCTCCTCCCAAACACCTCCTGTTCTCCTGCCCATTCAGGTCCCTCCGCTGTTCACTCACCCTCCATGGCTCCCCATGCCCACCTCAAGAAGGGCAGGGGCACTGGGTGAACCCCTTCTGCGTCACCGTGGAGACCCCTAATCACAAAACCCTCTTGGGCCAGACCCAGGCCATGTCCCAGTCCACCTTTCAACCTTGCAGCCTCAGTTTCCCCAGCTAGGGATCAGACCAATGAAGGCCACTGCCTCTTTGTGTTGTGATGAACGCAAGGCTGGTATGCGGTTGTTCTGCTGTTAGGTGCCGTTGAATTGGTTCTGAGTCATAGCAGCCCTGTGTACAACAGAATGAAACACTGCCCAGTCCTGCACCATCCTCATAATCATTTCTATGTTTGAGCCCATTGTTGCAGCCACTGTGTCAATCCATCTCATTGAAGGTCTTCCTCTTTTTTGCTGACCCTGTATCTTACAAACCATGATGGGGACCGGTCCCTCCTGATAACATGTCCAAAGTACATGAGACGAAGTCTCAACATCCTTGCTCCCAAAGAGCATTCTGGCTGTACTTCTTCCAAGACAAACTTGTTAGTTCTTCTGACAGTCCATGGTGTATTCAGTATTCTTAGCAACACTATAATTCAAATGCATCAATTCTTCTTCGGTCTTCCTTATTCATTGTCCAGCTTTAGCATGCATACGAGATGATTAAAAACACCATAACTTGGGTCAGGTGCACCTTAGTTCTCAAAGTGACGTCTTTGCTTTTTAACACTTTAAAGAGCTCTTTTGCAGCAGGTTTACCTAATGCAATACGTCGTTTGATTTCTTGACTGCTGTTTCCATGGGTGTTGATTGTGGATCCAAGTAAAATGAAATCCTTGACAACTTCAATCTTTCCTCCGTTTATCATGATGTTGTTTATTGGTCCAGTTGTGAGAATTTTTGTTTTCTTTATGTTGAGGTGTAATCCATACTGAAGGCTGTGGTCTTTGATCTTCATCAGT